GCATCAGCACATGCAGACCAGGACAAAGGAAAGGCATCCAATGACCTGTAATCGACTCGAATCGATGTTCTTGCCCACTGATTGCTCAATCGCCCATTTCATTTGGGTTTAATTTTCGCCAGAAAATTCAGAGCGATTCCCCGCGGTACCGAACGCATTCAATTTGCCACACAGAAATTTGCAAGAGTTGAGGGCAATCCAATTAGCAAATTTCATTGCTCTCAGCATTTTTCCCTTCAGCGTCATATTTTCATATCTGACTTGGTTTAATTAATTCTGAAAATTCCAATTCAATCACTGCCCTCAAATTGAGGTCTCTTTGGAAGGTAGAACAGTGATTTAATTATTGAGGCTTAAGTTTGGACTGGTTTAAATTGGTTGATGCTGTTGTTGAAAACGACTTTATGTCTTTTGGTTTTGCTTTGAAGAGCAAAACTACTTGGTTGATTTATTATAACAAAAATAGCTTTCTTAATGTTAAGACCATTTAATTTTATGAGGCATATAGATTTGAAAACGATTACTTTAATCGAAAATAATTAATTGTGTTTACCCTTAGGCATTTATGCCGAAAAGTTGACGAAATTATAATTGTTTATTTTCTTATATGTAGTCAAATAATAATATTGCAAATACTAGCCCAAAGCTAAGATTAAATGGAATGTGATTTCCCATTTGAAGAGTAAATTAATTATTGAATTCTTGTGCTTTGTGTTTCTGCTAAAAGATTATATCAAGAAAAATGCATTGTCCTTAATCGATTCGACTTCATTTCAGACATTGAAATATTGATTTAATCATTGAATCGTAGCCGCAAACTGGTTTTAATTTGGTGATGCGAGTGTGTGCTCTACAAATAAAATAAGAGCAGATTCTATTAGTTTGGGGCACATTCAGTCACCATTGTGTGGGTGTCTTTCTGGTTGGCCAAGAGCAATGATGCGGTTATTCGTCTTCGTCCTTTGGTGCTTTGTTCGAGTCTCTTGACTCGGTGCCTGTGGTTGTGTGCCAAATGCCAAGCCATTTGTTCCGAGCACATAAATCTTGGCAAAATAATTGCCGTAATGGCACGCATTCGCAAAGATTCTGGCCTCAATCGATGGAGGGCCGCTTAAAATATGCGATGCGAACTGCATTTTGGCTCTGCTCTTTAGATCCACAAAGATAGCTCACATCAGAAATCAATAAAAGTTTAGCGTGCACCATGTACAGTAAGCCTTCTATTACTAAAAATACTTTAAATACTATTTGTAATTTTAATTCAACCAGTTTTTCATTTTAACGATATTGCCTAAAAACTCATTTTAAATTGTTTTTTATTTTAAATTGAAATTAAAATTTGATCGACCACTGAAAAACTGGTGGTTTTGTAGAGCAGACGGCCCAATTCATCTGATTTCGAAAAGTAAGGGAGTTGTAAGGAGTCTGTTGTAGAGATGTAATAATTGATACAAAATTAAAAGTATTACGACCAATTGGCAAAAGATTGGGGATTCTTTTATGAGCTAAATAAGATTTAAAATTCTGAATATTAAATGAACGAATAATATATTGAATGTCCGTTATTTGTATTGGTATGGCCAAATACTGTATTATTTGGTCGAAAAAGGCCTTCTATTGTGTAAATGGGTGATTCTACTTGAAGAAGTTTTCCTGTATCTGTATCAGCGTTTATATATTTGTATCTGTATCTGAACCAAGTATCTACCCGACTGGCGCTTAGCCAGAGTGCGTTCCGTTTTGGCGGCGTCTGTGGAGCTCAAGCCCACTTGGACTGGCGCTGTTTGCCCTCGCTCCGCCGGCTTTTCCATGTGGAAAAGCCCATTGTTTGGCTTTGCCATGTTTGGCCATGCATTGTTGTTACTGCAAATACTCGAGCACACGCACACACTCACACACGTGGGCGTATGGCGCATGTGTCCTTTGCCATTGTTTGCCGAATTTATTGCACGAATTTCTGAATTGGCTCTTTGCGACTGTTTGTAGTCTTATTTTCTTATTTTTACACCCCTAAGCGCGTGTCCTTGATGCTTATGCTAAAACAATGGCCATTCCTGGCCATGAGTATTTATTGGGCCAGTCGTTACACATTCTGGAGACTGGCGGATGGGTCAGTCGGCCACCTGCCTTATGATTTATGCCTGTGTCATGTTAATTAGCACGATCTCGGCCTGATTAGGGTTAGCTCTTCTGCGTGGGCCTCTGTATTGCGCATACGACACGTTGTCGCATGCGAAAATATTCGGTAAAGCCGCCGGCAAAACGAACACGGCACACGTGCCACAGTGAATGCTTATTTACACCACAGCTCGAAATTACAGGAAGCGGAAATCAAGTTGGGAACTGAATTAGATTAAACTTACTATCCCATAATTCATTGGGAAATTATGCGGCAAGGGTACACAAAATTAAATATATCTGTGGGCCTACAAAAAAATACTTAGCCACCAATAAAAATATTTAAAATGCTTCAATTCTATTACCACTTTAAAACTCAAAACTAGTAGATATTTAATTGAGGATTCCGCAGAAATACCATTAAGTCTAGTTTTAAATGCAGGCAATCTCTCGCTTTCTTGGAAACCCTGTTTTTAAATTAAAAAAGGGAATTTCTTAATTCTGACAAAAAAATGTTAAAACCAGTTTAAGTTCCCAAATAACATCCAAGAAATTTCTTGAATGTTTCAATTAATTATGTAAGTAGTAAACAAAAATTTAATTTATTTTGTTAGTTAGTTTGTGAGTTTCTCCCCTTGGTATTATGAGTACAGTGAACTGCTTTTGATTGCTCCCGACAAAAGACCGCGGAACAAAGGAGGGCATAGAACAAAGAAGTGCCATGGCATGAACTCCAATTTGATTTCATTACTCCAGTAATTAGTAATTAGTGAGCGAGCAAATTGAACTTTTGCTCATGGAGCGGATAAACTTGACAGGATTACAGTGCTCTATGTGCGAACTTTCACTGTACCGACAAAGTTGGGCCGACATCCGTTGCCGTAGATGCTGTTGTTGCTGATATTATGGTTGTAATTTCCTTGTTCGTGGTTGCCTTTCATGTGTCAGGCATTTGTCCCATCAACATCAACATCAACATCACCATACCAGTACCCAATCCTCTTTTGTCATCCTCTTAAGCCCCCAAGTCCCCCTTGTCGCAGTTTTGGGCACTGAAGGCAGTCACATGGAATATATTGCGTATACGCCGTGTAATGAATACTCATCGTCCAATTGACAACGCTTGAATTTATGAAAAACGAAAAACAATTCATGAGTTTTGCGGGTTGAGTCTGGGCATATAACATATGCCGGGGATGTGTTGGCATAAATATGCAACATGTTTCCCGTACATCATTTGCGCCTCAGTGCGTCACGCGTTTACGAGTTTCTCCTCGCAGGACATATTCGTAATCGTAATCGTAACAGAAAACCCAAACCGAGGCCAAAACAGGCTTAAACCAATGAATTTGTGTTACAATTTCATTGCGAGCATGTATAAATTACAGCGGATGCGGATTTACACTGTCTGCCTGGCTGGAAAATCCTGGCAACATCTCTCTCGGGTGCCCAAAGCATTTATTCTCAAATCAGCACCAAAGCCTGCTCATTTGGCTTGCAACCAAGGCCCAAAACAAAGGCATTTGCTTGTCAAGGACTGCTGCTATGTGTGTATGTTTCCATAAACATTTGCGATTAGCCCTTCATTTTTGGAAATCCTTATAAATAGAACTGCGGATATTTTCATACTTTATGTGGTTCAAGGTTTTTAATTTAAGCTTGGTTGAATCTTAAAATAGCGGCTCATAAGGGCTTAGACTTGTATTTAAAGGCTTTCATCAAACATACATTTGGGGAATTTTTAAATAAAACAATGCACTACTTCAACCAAAACCCTGATCTCTTATGTGCTATATGTACATATATATATAGGTGCCCGAAGACAATAGACTTTGCTTGTCAAGGACTATTTGTACGTAGACACATTTCTAAAAATACTTGCGGTTTTTATGCTTTTGACAAATCGTTATAAATAGATGTGTAGACATTCTTAGTCTTGAAAACCGGTCGAGCTTCATTTAAAGTTCATGGTTATAAACGTTGAGAAGCAGTGTTTATTTAGGCTAATATGTGGTTTTAGTCGCAGTAGTTTAACAGTTGCTTAGCCAGACTGCAGTTCATTATTTGACTTTAAATGTGGTTCAGCATGTCTTAAAGTGAATCGATTTATATTTCGGATGATTGGAAACGTACATTTCATAAAAATTGTGGTTAAACTTATAAATAGTTAAAGTTTTCAGGCTAACTTAATTGCTACAAAACATGTTTATTCTGACAAATAAATTGTGTTGCTCGCAGCTTAAATCACCTGTTTATCCAGCCTGGAGTGCATGTTGCGACCAGATATGCAGACGAACACCACCATTAGGCCACAAACGCGGCCATGGCTTATAATCGCTGACTAAACAAACAGCACTTGTCGCCCAACATGCGTTGCATGTTCTAAGCTGCATGATTTATTTATCGGTCGTGTCCTGGGGAGCCATAGCACACAAATTATTATCATGCCATTAAATAAAATAATGGAATACGGATTTTAATTAAAAGCTGCAATACTTTTGGCTTAACAATGGATTTAGTCCGTCCAATATCCGCCCATTGGTGGCGGCTGTGGGTACGCCTAATCCAATTAACTGTCATAGACACACAAATTGGCCGTCACTCAATTTGGTTGTGCAGTGCCAAAAGGCCCAAACACCGCCCACAGCTGTGACAGTTTCGTCGTGGCCCAAAAGGGCGGCATGGGTGGGGCCAACTATGTGTCAATTTCGGTTTCAGTTACAGACTTTTGGTGGCACTTTCGGAAATTGTTTCAACAACGGTTTGTAATTTCACACGCCGCAAAGTGATTAGCCCAGCTTTTGTCCCCCTGATTGAATCCCCCAGCCAAAACTACCGAACACCAAACTAACCCAAAAACCATTTTCCGTTTCTTCTTGCAGTGACAGACTTTGATGTGAATCGGAAACACGGGGGCGAACGATACCGAAGGAACCAAAGGGAAACAAAGGTGCCAGGCCAATAGTGTGCAAATTGATATAGCCGGAGCAGCATGGATGAGGAGCACGAAGACGATCGAATAATATGAGATTAGATGGGGCTGTAGAGCCCCGGCCCCGTCAAGGAGCTGCCACGTTCAAGGGCCGCCAGCCCCTGAGGCGCGATACCCGCGAACCATGTGAGACACAGCCGCAGCAGCAGCAGCAGCAGCCAGCTGACGAAGACGACGAGGCCACAGACGCTGAGTGTTTGACCACCAACCGCAGCAGAATCAGCAGCAACAATTGCCAAGCCAACTTGGTCTTCAACCTAGAAGGTGTTTTTTCGGACAGAATAGTACCAACACCAGCAATACCCACGGCCAGGGAAACAACTGGAGGCAAAGGCGAACTGGTAGCCGACACCCTGAAAACGCATACCAGGCCATTATTAATGGCGCCCAACGCGGGGCTATTAATGGCGCCCAACGTGGGACATCAGCGGAAAAGCCTTGGCCTTCGACTTCCGATGAAGCGGGGCAAGAGGATGATGGGCGCGGGCTGGGAGCGCCTTAACGGCCTGGTCCTATGCCTGATTTCCGTTATTGCCCTTCTGCCGCCGTTGACGCTCGGCGATGACGGTGATAATTTCTTTGCGGTGAATGCCTTCAGTGCGGGTCCGGAGACGACAACGCCAGAGTTTGGTAAGTAGTTCATGGCACAGATAAGAATGCTGCACCAGGCAGTGGGATTACCACTGGCTTAGGTCTGTTTAAGAATGGAAGTACCCCGCAATGGCGTCATCGAGGTGTCATATGTATATGCGGCTGCCTTGACAGTCTTTTGTTCTCTTGGCTGGCGGCAATTCCATTGCAATTGCATAAGTTTTACAGTGACATTATATTTTAGAGCATTTTTTCTCTAGGAAGATAAAGTTTAGTTTTCATTATTCTGTTTTCCCATTAAACTTATGAAATCGGTTTCAGTCTATGGCACTATTGATTTAAATCAGCTAAAGAGCTGTTCAAAATATATATTTTAAGAAAAGTCTTTTTTTTTCATTTCCAATAAATTTTATCCTTTTTGATTTTAATAAATTCACTTCTTGAAAGCTGCCTCCTGACTTAAACCATTTTTCTGACTGCCATGCAGGTTTTCTTTATATGATTTCTTTGCCTTTTTGTAAGCCCATTTACTGAAAGCTTTTAAGCCACTGCGCTTGGGTTCGTGATACGTACTCATACCTCCGAGCATTAGAGTAGTTTTCTCATCCGAAACTTAAATGGCCTGTCTGCAATGTGTTCTAGTCAGAATGTGAAAAGTTTTCCATGTACTGGCAGTGTTTTTTTTTTATTTCGTCTAGGAGGCCTAATGATAGTGCCGAAATAAGCAAAGTTGGCTTTAATGGCTCGGCCCAGTTCGTTTAATTATAAATGCTGGCTCTGTTGCAGCTCTGGCTGTTTAATATGGGCTCTCGGTTCGCCTGACATGTGCAATTTGTAGTCAGATTTTAGGCCCTTCCTCCGTGTGAAATATGGCCGGGGTCTGGCCATTGGGTAATCGCTTTTTGGTGAGGCCATCAAAGGTTGGCTTCGGGTCACGGACATGGTCCACAGTCGAGCCCCCCGGCAGCCACTTTGTCAACACTTTCACAGAATTTTTTCGTTGCTGCAGTAGCGCCACGGAAACCAAAACCAAATAAAACTCAGCTGTGGAAAAACGTAAGCAAAGCTTTGTGGACTGCTGATGCTGCGGCAGCTGGGTTTCCTTTTTGCAAATTGCAAGTCGAGGGTACGACGGGGTCAATTGATGTAGGCCCGCTCTTACCGCATAAGTGATAGCCCCCGTCCACAAATAACAATAAACTATTTATATTATGTTTAATTGAGATAAAATAAAATCTAATGTCTATAATTTGTATAATGATAAAGTCAAACACAATTATTAATACAATGTGTAATAGTTTAATCTTTTTAACCATTGAGAGAAAATAAATTCTAATGTCTATAATTTGTATAATGATAAAGTCAAACACAATTAATACAATGTGTATTATTATCTCTATCAAGTTTAATCTTTTTAACCATTTACTTTAATTTACTATTGCAATTGTGATAAAATTTGGTAAAATGGAAATATATTTTACCATCTTTCGGCGAATATTTTCCGATAATTTATTTAAGCTTTCAACAAAAATAATTAAAACTCCATGCCAAATATCAGATTGCTTTAAAACGTTTCTGATAAAACAAACTAACCAATTAAGATAACATTTACATTTTGTCTTTTTAAATGGCCCTGGGGAAATCTAGTCTTTAAGAAATCAGATAGTATAAATATAGAGAAACCTGCACTCGAGATATGTAGACTATTTTTAGTTGGGTATCCGGCAGTCTAGTATTGCGACCGCCACTACCATTATTCGTATTAGCATTCATTTTTCGCAGACCCTTGCAAACTAGGACCCTATTCATAGCCAGGCGGTGCATTTAAAAATAAACCGCAAGCAAATGGGCCTCGCCCAAAAGAACCCCACTAATACTCGCACATGGGCATGAACTGGAAAATGGCGCACCCGTTTGTGCATGAGCAGCCATTTTGTTTTGTCTTTTCGCTTCCGTTGGCTTAAATGTCGGCGCATCCGCTGCTTTATGGTCTTGGTCTTGGCTCTGGCTTCTGCTCCCGGTAATTATGGCCGGAGTATCAACAGAATTAGAGGTGGAATATGGGCTCAACCCTTGGCTGAGATTTTACACACACTGCTAGGCGGGGAATCCCCGGAATCCCCATGCCGAAGAGTTGCTCCCAAGAGCTTAATTAAGATGTGAAGGGCCGCAAACGCAACTCACTGCCGACTCGAGTGTTTTCATTCCATTCAAAGTTAATGAAGGATTCCTAGCCCGGCCAGCTCGAGTGCACCGAAGTATGCTCGGGGGAAAAAACACACACACATTCCCGCGTTCACACGAGTAAAAAAGGAAAAAAAAAAGGAAACCAACCCAGCAGCACACACAAACACCTCGAAGGCTGGTAAAGAATTTACATTTTAATCTGCCCCCAAGTCGTTGGGGGATTTGGAAAACATTTCACAGAAAGTTGGTTGCTAGCTTTTATTTTTTATTGATATGCACAGTGGCGAATCGAAAGTTTGGCGGCTTGGTTTGGTTTCATTACAAATTTCACGCCTGGGATTAGTCACGTTGACGTAACCAGCATATCCTTATAACTTAACTTGTCCCCTTTTCCACAGATTATGCCAGCCGTGGGCAGAAGAAGTTCGGCGACAAGTGCGATAATACCCTGGAATGCGGGTTCCCCGGCTCCATCTGCGATCCCAAGAAGAAGTCCTGCCAGTGCACCGAGGATCTGCCCGTCACCAATCACATTGACAAATGTGGCAAAGGTAAGGCCACCCATTACTGGCACCCATTTCTAACCATTTTACTCGGTGCTGTCACCCTGCCAAGTTTTCATTAAAAAAGAGTCAAGAAAGCTGCAGTGGCAGCAAAGTGAAATCCCCCAAGCTTGATTGTCCTGATTGCGGGGCGTAGCCACAAATTGTGTAAATTAAAATAGAAACTTGGCAGCCGCAGCAGAAGGGGTGGAAAGTGCAGGTAATGCACAATAATAGATATTCCACCGTGGCACACGTGCGGTATTATAAATTAAAATCAAATCGGTGGGACATTCCAAATGCCTATTTATGGCTGCGGGATCGGTCAGAAGCCGCTGACAGCCGAAGATCTATTTTTATGGGTGTGACTCGATTGGTAACTTCTGAACAAATACTTGTATCTCCCGGCCATTGATCATCGACGCGGCTGACAGCCAGTCAGTCAGATGTCCGGCTCCTTGGCCAAGTATCTGCCTCCCGCATCACGGCCCTAATCCCCTACGACCGGTGCAGTGTCTCCGGGTCTCAGAGCCACCCTCCGCCACGATAATATTTGTCACCGGAGTGGACAAAGAGGTGGAAAGTCAATCCGCCCCATCCATATCGCACTTCAATCAGCCATTAAATCAATCCGCAAACAGCCACGACAGCCGGGAAATATTTTTCTTGATATGGGCTCTTGCCCGTTGTTGCTTGTTTACAGTGCACTGAAAAAAAGGGGTTCCAACTTAAAAATGGCAGCGAAAGGTTTTAAATATTCAAGGAATAACTTATATAACTTTTCTTCAATTAAATTGTTCCTTGTTCAAAACAAATTTACAATAACATTTTAATTAAAACACCAACTAATATTTAGTACAATTTAAAAACCATTTAGGAGTTTTCAGATCCTCATAAAGAACCACTAATAATTATAAAAACATGTCTAGCATGAGCATAATAAAAATATTTGTATTTTTAGATGTGCATAATAAAATTAAAAAAAAAAATTCACATTCAATTTATTCAAGCAGTTTATTTACTTACAGCCTAAGTTAGTTGCAAATAGTAGGAATACCTAAAAGATTATTCCACTTAAAAGAAATGATTCCCAGTTTTAAGTTAATAATAGATAAATATTAACTAGAATATAGCCACAAATTAAATGACGCATAATTTAACAAAAATTGTTTCCAACACAACTTTATCAAGTATAAATTTGTATCCTGTACCCCAGTATTTACAAATTCGTTTTAGAGAACTGGTTTTTCTTTTTCTGTGACTGTATAAATTACAACCATTTTGTCAGCTCAACTGATTCCTTTTTGTGTCCCTTTATCCATTCTTTCCCCCAATCCTCCCACAGAGGCCTCCGTGAACGAGTCCTGCTTCTTCAACGAGCAGTGCGAGATGCGATACTTCCAGACGGAGTGCCGGGACGGGCGGTGCATCTGCCGGTTCGAGATGTCACCCATTTGGGCCAAGGACGGATCCGTGGAGTGCAAAGGTCGGTGGTCAGGAATGTAGTAGACATTAAGCCGGCACTGCTTATGGTTAATGGGGCTGTGTTGTTTGCCGTTTGGCTGTTTGCAGGGCGCCAGGACAAGAGGGGACCCGAGACGTACATCGATCCGGCCATGATTGGCGTGCTGGTAGGAATGGCATTGATGTTTATTATTATTTGTGTCGTCCTGCGATTGTTTAGCCAGTGAGTAAATTGCAATGCAAACATCATCATCGCCCCACACCCACGCAAATAGTTTAAGCATTAAATCTAGGCTAACAGTCACACACCATTTAAGATATAGTATCGCTTGAGTGCACACATAATGGATTTTTATTTTTCATTTCCAAAGATTTTAAAGAATTATTATAAAAAAGGTTTTGTTTTTGGTTAATTTATTTAGAGTTAAATAACGACCTTATCAAAGTTAACAGTTGAAGAGTTAACAACTAAAATTTTTAAAGTGCTAAATATAGATGAAATATATATAATATTAATTATGTTTATAAAAACTATTAAGACCAGCTTTCTTGTTATAATATGAATTTTCTTTATAAGAAAAAAAATTTGATAATCTTTTATTAAACTATAAAACGACTGAATAACATTTTGTATTAAAAAGCTTTTTTATGTAACATACAGCATTTATTTTGACCAATTCTAAGCCATATTTATACTGCAAGTCAAACCCCCTTAATCTTAAGTTCATCCGTTAGCTTTTCAATAAACTGGGTCAATTGGGCTTTCGATGCTTTGATGGAACTTAATTAATTTGTGGTTGGCAAGCGATATATAATTCGAGCACCAATTAATTTCCAGTCTAATAAACAGCATTTCTGCATTAATTGGCATTAAGTTTGAGTAACCATGGCCCCCATATCTCCGCACAACCACACCGCCGCTTGTTAATAATCCATGGACCCATGAAATGTAACTAATTTTTGTCCGTAATTTGCAGAGCCCGCTGGCATGATAACCGGACCATCTTCAATACGCCGAATCCGCGTCTGATGAACGTCTCGCTGCTGCGGGACAGCAAATTGCTCCACGGCCAGGAGCGCCGGGGATCCAGGATGTCGGTGCGGGCCCCATCCCGACAGCCCAGCATGGCCTCCCTGAGACCCCACTCCCCCAATCCGTCGCTAGGTAAGACAGGTTTGTATTCCATGCCCCCCAGTCGATGGTCAACCTCCTCCAGTCTCTGGTCTCTGGTCTTCCGCGATTGCATTTTTAGTTTTGTTTTACGATTTTGTTCCCCATTTTTGGATTTGTTTCGTTTGTCTCGTCTCAAAAACTTGCAGAACTTTCTTTTTACAGCCCAAAACTATACGAGCAGATAGAAAAACCCCTCAATACTTACTTACCCAATCAATCAATCAGTCAGCCAGTCAGTCAGTCGTCAGCCAATTGATCAGTCAGTCACCAAACAAAAAACTTACAAAATCACCCAAGTAAACTAAAGGAACTTAGTGGTGTGGATGTACCCGAAAAACGTGATGAGAGGGTAAAAGAAACAAGTCAAAGCCCCCATGATATTCGATATTAAAGAAGTTTATCTAGCCATCAACGGGGTACAGTAATGTACATTTTCTTGGGATATAAAAAATGTTTTTAAAGGAGTAAAAAGTATTTTATTCAAGAGTAAGATTTGCGGTTTGGGATAATTGCAGACCTGTATTAGTTTTAAGGAGTAAAGGTGGTAGGGTTAAAGGTTGGTATTGTTGGTATAGTTGGTATTTCCTCAAAGTTTAACTATAAAAGCTCCAGAATTTAAGTTGCAGACCTTTAATAAGTTCAAATAGCCTGATATTTCATAAGATAAGTTAGAAATTAAATATTCCATCTCTCAACATATGTACAAAACAATTAAAGCTCATTATTTTTCCATTGCGTAAGACTATTTGAGTATTTTTTTTTCGATTCCAAAATGTTTGCAACTTTTTATTTTAAGCAGTAACATTTTTTGGACAGAAAAATACAAAATGTAATATAGGGTGATTTTAGCCATATACAATTTGACAGATTTTTCATATAATTTTAAGCACCTAAAATTTGTTTGGACATCTCAGAATGTAACGTTTTGCTTAATTAAAAAAAAACCGAAAATACCAAACGACGCTTTCTGTTTATTGTTTTGAGCAGCAACTAGTGCGCTGGACAGCATAGTGCAGCATATTCGCAACCTTATCCCAACTTCGATGACGGTCCGCTAAAGACTGGCGAAACAGGAACAACAACTCTTCGGGGGGCTCAATCAATTTGACTGACAGTTTAAGAACCGTTTTACTCAACGCCATTACGGCGATAATTGTTGGTGTGCTAAGCCCAGCGGACAGTTGTTTGAAATTACCTTTTTTGGGTTATTTATATTCTTATTTGAGTTTGCCCCCCACCCCCCACCTCAACCTAAACGGCCCAATAAAACTCGCGTGCCCAGTCAAAGGCGAAATATTAAACGTATCCAACCGCTCATTCCCCCCAAAACAACAACAACGAAAAACCAACACCCAAACAAACAAAACACAAACAAAATACTGAAACCGAAAACACAAATAAAACTGAAAACCGAAAACCGAAAACCGAAAAAGGACGAATGATCCGCTCGAAGAGCAATACGCGGTCGAGTGACTCGCGGGTCAGCGATGTGTCCACCTGCTCGAGATTGCTGGAGCATCCGAGTGCGGCCAGCCAGCACAACCTGGTCCACAGCCACTTCCTGCCCTACGTGCCAACGACCACGGCCAGCACATTTACGGCCACCAACGCCACTGCAACATACGCTGCCTCGGCCACGCCCTCGCCCACGCCCACGCCACCGCCCTCGGCGGGCCACCAGCCAACGGGCAATGCCAGTAGCACCACCACCGCCACAGCCACCGCCACCACCATCACCACCACCACCTATGTGTCCCCAGCGGGGGCGGCACCAGCCTGTGGTCGGACCAACAAGTTCTAGAGTTCTAGATCAAATAGATATATATACCCTGTATATGTCCGTAAACGTATCACACTCAAACGCAAAAGACAAACGCATCCATATCAGGGCCCAAAGAGGTAGGCAGACCTGAAAGCAAACACACCCACTCCCAAAAGCCCCACCCAAATCGTTGCCAGTCTGCGTAGTGTACTCGTAAAGTTGATGTCTTGTCTAGCGAAAGTTGTGTCCAAACAGTTGTACTCGTACCCGTAACCGTATTAGCACACTCGGGAAAATTGCTTTATCTGAAATCATAAATTGTGTTATATTGATCGTTGTTCAAATTCATATGTTGTTCATTACATTACAACATTACATTATAAACATTTAATCTGATACAAATTTCTACCCCTATGCCTAAAAGATTTAAAAATTTATTACCTTTGAAAGAAAAATTAAGACCATGTTAAATAACTTTTTAGTTTATTTATTCGAAACTTAGTGAACATCTTTATACTTAAAGTAATCTAATGAAAATCAATATGTTATACTGGCTTATAAATATTTCAATTATTAATAGTTTAGTTAGCTTTCAATTTCGGAAACATTTACTCAATTTCAGAACGCCTTTTTCCCAGTGTACTCGTAGTCGTTGTTCTCGTTGTTGTTCTTGTTGGCTCGAAGTGTTGTTGCCCTAGTCTTAAGCTGTAGTCGAGAGTTGCGGTTTACCTGTATGTAATGATACTACTCCAACTTCCACCACTTCTGCCACTGCCACTACTAAGCTCCTTAGAAGCCACCCAAAGATACAAAAGCAGACACAGATGCAGACACGATCCGCCACAGATACAAAAATATACGAACGTAGATACTCGTGCCAAAAAACCTCATCGATACCTCTCTCTCTCTTTCTCTATCTAACCTACTCTGATCCATTGCAGCATCCTTTTTGAGTTCCTTTTTCCGCTTTAGTTTCTTTCCTTTCTAGCACGGCTAACTATCTATAGTTTTCCTATCTGGCTTGTTCAGACATATAATTTTTACGTGCAGTGAGCGATCTACGGAGTAGTTTTAAATTTATTAAATTATTAATTTTAAAAGTTATAAATAATGTAAATTAAATATTATTTCTGAGGATTACTTCAAATTTATATTTCAACTATATTAGTCAGAATAATAATAATAATTAAAACTTCTTTGATCGGCTACTGCACATAGAATAATCCACGTAGAAAAAGAGACTCGAAGTATAAAGTGGATCACTCCACTCGAAGTCGAGTTTCCGTTGACCACATTGCTGTTGTCCTGTGATGCCAACGATAACTGCCCTTCAACCGGTTATCCGTAGAGAGTAGCTGAGACCGAAATCCCCCCGATACTAATCCCCCTTTTGGATGACCATCTTCCCCACAGGCTCCGATTCGCATGGCAGCAATGCATCGGCCGCCTCGGTGCGCTCCAATCGCAGCAACTCGGTGGCTCCCGGCAAGGTTGTCCACCACGAGCGCCACGGATCCGCCCATCGCCAGCACCACCAACACGGCCACCAACAACCGAAGGAGCAGCCGCAGTCACCGCAGGATCAGTCGCTGATCACCAACATCACCACAAATCCGGTGGCCGAGAGCGTCACCGTGGAGATCATCGAGCCGGGACAGAAGTAGAGGGGCAGATTCAACAGTGGGATCGGCGGGATTCAAAGTATAAAGCGAAATGGTATAGGCAAGATTAACTGGCTAACTCTCTGACACACGAACACTGGACACGTAATACGAAACATATAGTCACGATATATGCACGCGATAATAAGGCGGGCCCGCTCACAAAAGGGGCGTGGCCCCGGCAACCAACACACAAAATAAAAAACACAAACACATAAGGCCATTGTTCGACTCTTTTTGACAAAGACAATTTTTGCAATTAATGGAAATTTTTTAACCAAACCAATTATATACTTATTATATAAATACGGAGCATATAAAAACACACACACATACACCCAGAACAATGCTAAATGAATTACTTACGTACGACTACACCGTAAAAAATAATTGAAAAAAACCTTGCATAACAAATTCATACTACTCTTTTTTTCAACCAAAAAAAAAAAACAAAGAAAACTATAAAGCCGAAAGAGGAAAACTTTATTAATTTAAATAACATATTGTAATGCAGTTAAATAACTAAGCTTTGGGTTAAAGGCTTTAAGGATTAAAAACACAGTAGAGGAAACCTAGAGCATGATCTCAATCGTAGTGTTCTGTAGCCAGCCATTGGAGGCATTGTGCATCGTGGCCAAAGATGCGACAAATTGGCAGAAACCAAATGCAAACCGCTGATACAACGCCTTATCTATACTTATATTATAGATCCAATTGCCGCTCTAGCTCCCAAATATGGATGTTATTACCCACAAACGATGACAAACCAAGTTGAAGAAATATTTAACAACCTCGGGACCATATTTTATAATCAAAATATGCGTTTCATTGCGAAGCACGCACGTTCACATTATTCTCGTTTTGGTATTAACTTTTTAGGTTCGGATGTAGGGAATACTGAAAAGGAGTACCTAGATTTTAACAACTAGCTGAGCAAATATTAGGGAACACTCACAACATGATATTAAGGATAATGATTATACAAGCTCGCAATGAGTGCAAAATCTAAATTGACTTCCAGTTGAATGATATGGTTTGACTTTAGTTCGATTTTATGCTGATTTTTAAGTTCGATAGCCTTTACAATCTCACACAGCACACCGCAGATCGGGGCTGAGGATTTTCGGACAGTGTATTGGGCTAGTCGGGAATAGGGGAAGATTTTCGAGTCTGTCCAATACAAAGTTCGAATCGAACTCGGACAACGGATCTCCAGGTAATAGCCATAGTAGAAATATAAAATATCGATAAGGTTTAGTTGTTGCCCCCAAAACAGACGATTCTCATTTGCTTTTGTGCTCAATCAAAGAAGCTTAACTGTGAGAATACCAAATGAATACATGATACAAATAAACGTAGAGCGAAAAAATCTTAAAGTTGCTTGAGAACTTCTAGCTAAACAATTACAATTAGAATAACATCAACAAAAAAATTTAAAAAAAAACAAAAACAATTTTATTAAAGCATCGAATTTTTCTTAAAACAAAATGAGCAAACAAACAATCTTATTTCTAGGACAACCAAATCTAGTTACTTATTTACATCCTAAAGGGCATTCAATAAAACAATTTAAGCTTTGGAATTTGGGGAAGAATTTCAAGGTTTAACTTTGTTTTTAACAAACCGCAAAACACTTACATCTAAGCACCAAAGATTTAGAGTATATTACAACTAATTATAAAAGAGAATACAAACAAATGAATCACTGATTTTTCTATTTACATCAAATATTGTTGAAGGCAGACTTTAAGCGAATTTTAAATAAGCTAAACCAATGATCAGCATAAGAAGAGAATATTTTAAAACCAATTATATACATACATGAATATGCTTTATTTACTTTAATATTTACATTATACACAACAACTACATACAACTATTATATAAACTTGTATTAAAGTTTCGTGAAAAACTGCTACCAAACCGAATGCGATAAATTCATTTACACTCTACCAAAGGAAAACAAAAATTTTATATATGAAGCGAAATCTTGTAATGCTAATATTATACATCTAGAATCAAATGCCATTATCGCACATCTAAGCCATACAAAAAAAACTAAAGTAATGACAAAAGAGACAAACCTAAATCTTTAAGCCTAGAAGAGAAGAAACTTATAGAGTTCAACATTTCGATTTTTCATGTGACTTGTAACTACAAAGAAAACAAAATGAAACTAGAATGGATCGTAGTTATAGAGAGCGAATCAAAGCCAGACAGTACGAGTAGCAAAATATAGACGATGGTAACCTACAAGATAAATTGCTTTTTTCAAATTCAAGAAAGCAAACGATCGAGTTGAAACAACTAAGTACGAGTATATTATGAAGTACATATAATATATATACATATATAACTATATTTAAAGATCAGTTCACTATAATAAAGTCTATATTACCATACCTAACAGAACAAAAACCCCCCGCAGTCTTTCACAGGGTCGTCCCCTTGTACCCCAGATCGAGCACCGATCCCTGATCCTCCGACCTCCTGCCCAGCACCCTCTTCCGGTAGCTCTGCTCCGCCAGGTGCCGCAAGTGCTGGGCGGTGCCAACGCCCGTCTTCTCCACAAATCGGTGCAGATAACCGTGTCGATTGTGCAGCAGCTCGTGCGGATGCCCCAGCTCCACCACGCGGCCCATGTCCACCACCATCACCCGGTCGTTGTCCATCACGGTGTGCAGTCGGTGGGCTATGGTCAGGACGGTGCAGTGGGCGAACTTGGTGTGGATAGCCTCCTGGATGAGATTGTCGGTCCTGCAGGGAAAGAGGGACACATTAGTGGGGTTACCGATAATTTGAGGTGTCAAGGTAAGTGCTTAAACTATTTATTAGCATTCTTAGACCTATGACTTATAGCTACTGTTGGATATTAATCACTTATAATCATTATCTGCTGATATCTCGGAGGATATTGTTGTACAACTTTATTATAAATGTAATAATATGTATTTTGATAATGAACTAATTAATAGTTGAATACATAAACTCATAATATACTGATTGAAAGATATATATCATGCCTAAAATTACGATTTTGCTATACAACTTTTTATATCAAATTTAATGAAGTTAGAATTATTTTGCCAGTAGATTAATAAACAGTTTAATAGTTATTTACTCTCATGAATTGTAAATTCTTCTTTTAAGTCTTAAGCTAATCAGCTACCCGTTTTAAACTGTCAGGTAGGCATGAACAAGTTTAATTTTTTTTCGTCGATTTTAAAGCAAGTTGTAGAATTCATTGACAAATTATAATGATCAACATCAGCTGATTTTGAAGCCAAAGTGATTTTTTTGGTTTTTGCTGTCACCCTTGACATCGCTTGTTTTGATCTTTCAAACCGAACCAAACCTTAGGTATTATTAAATCAATCAAATTTTTTGCGTTCTACTTAAATTTCTAATGTCAGACAGCTGATTTTGAGTTTTAGAATGTTCCGGCTCTCACAATCGCCCTTTTTTTTGGTTATACATACATATATGTATTTACGATTCTTAGTTATATATACTTCCATCAATTTGGAATAGTATTTGGTTGCAAGCAAGTTTAATTAATTCTTTGATAATAAAAACCGGAACGGAACTTCCACCATCCATTTCGTAATAGACTTACTCGGGATCCACATTGGCCGTTGCCTCGTCCATGATGAGTATTTTGTTCTGGCGCAGGATAGCTCTGGCCAGGCAGACTAGCTGCCTCTGGCCCATGCTGAAATTGGCCCCGGAATCGTGGAGGCGACAGCAGATGCCCTCCTTCAGATTCGATACGAATTCCTTGAGCTTGACGGCCTCCAGGGCCAGCCAGAGTTCCTCGTCCGTCTTCTCCTCGAAGGGATCGAGGTTGAAGCGGAGAGAGCCCGAGAAGAGCACCGGATCCTGGGGTATAATCGAGATCCTCCGCCTCAGATCGTGCAGGCCCAAGTCGGATGTCTCGAAGCCATCGATGGCAATGTGTCCATCAATGTGAGCCAACCGAAAGAGGGCCTGAACAATGGATGACTTCCCCGCAGCCGTGTGACCCACTATGCCAATCTTCTCCTCAGCACGTATCGTGAAGTTGAGACCCTTGAGGATGTACGGACCGTGATCACTGTACCGCAGGCGGAGATCCCGGAAATCTAGCTGACCTCCACTGGGCCATTGCTTGGGCAGGTTAACCGACTCCTCCGTTTCGTAGGCAGGTTCCGATGGTATATTCACATACTCCATCACCCGCTCCACGCTGGTCATCATGTTCTCCAGCTCCACAGTCTGCCGCATTCCCGCCTGACACATCAGCACCAGTTTCATGGACTGCGTGATGGCCAGACCCACATCTCCACTGTAGTATCCTCGATGCCGATCGAAGAGCAGGAAGCTGAACGTCACTGCCAGGATGTACAGCACGCAGATGAGATCGGTCCAGAAGGCAAACGCCCGGTTAATGCTCACGTGGAGGTACAAGGCCGAGGTGTTCTCGTTCTGGTAGTAATGGAAGTCCCGCTCCATGTATTTTGTGCCATTCAGAGCACGGATGGTGGCAAGACCCTTAAAAGTGGCATTTGTGTGAGAGTAAATGGGACTGCGGGCTGGAAGGAACTAGGTTATTATTTTGTAAAAATAATAATAAAAAGGCGACTCACATATAGTCTCTATGCGCTTTAAACTCCGGCTAGCTCCTATATAAAGACACCGACATCCGTACAACAAAGCCACCACCACGATGGCCGGAATGAGGAGCCAGGTGTTGGCCGTACTGACCACCGCAAGCACAGCCAAGGCATTCACAACAAACTCAATGGAGTCCATCAGCGCCTGGGGTAAATTCACATCAATAGCCAAGATATCGCTGGAGAAACGATTTAAGATCCTGCCAGAGGTGGCCAGAGTAAAGAAGTGCATGAAGGCTCGGATAACCCCTTGGAAGAGTTGAATATGGATGCGCAGTGATATCCTCAGGGTCATCATAAAAAAGCCAAAGGTACGGAGGACATAGAAGATGAGGGTGCAAAGAATTAGGAATGTGTAGAGGACCATCATTCGCAACCGCGTTCTATGATACTCCGGAATAGGTTCGTGCTGATTAGGTTCCGTTTCCTCCCAAGTTGCCCTAAAATGAGAAACAAAAATTATTATTTTGATAAAAAATAATTTGTATATCAATTCATTAAATGCTCCTTTTAATTAAAAACTAATCGTAAGTTTTCTTTAAAATTACACGTAAAAAAATCAGTTTAGGTGTTGTAAGCCCGTGACTTTCTAATTTGACCTTCTGATACTGAAACAACCATATAACATGTGTCGTCGAGATAGTGAAATCGGCTCCATCTGTGCGGAAATGCGAGCAATATTTATTGCAATCAACAACTGGAACATGTTTTATCAATAGGTAGTGTTAATAAACATGTCGCAATCTGTAAATCAAACTGACTCATCTTCTTTCAAGGCTAGTCATTAAAGCCTAAAATAACTGAAATGACTTTCGATTTTTTTGGAATCATACGTATAAAAACCGTATAAAAAAGTGGGGAATTCTCTTGATTTATTTGTTCTCCTTTTTTGTTATTGTGGTTTTTTAGAACTAATAAGAAATCACTCACCATTTGGAAAGAAATATATCCATGGTCGCCTCCGAGGCACGAGCTACAACGAACATCATCAGGATCATTACCACAACCAAAGGATGGCCCAGAACTCTGAAGTACTCCTTGTAGGTATTCAGTTTAACGGATCCCCTTTGCTGTTGCTCCTTGAACTGCTGCTCTATCTGGTCCCGATCGAGGTGCTCCTCCTGGGACAGCGATTTCCTTGGTTCCGGTTCCTCATAAACACTATCCGTTCGCATGGCCCGCAATTTGGCCACTTCGACGTCATTGGCCACCGACATCCTGAATCTTATTAACTTCTTTAAGTTATCGTAATGCCCCTGGATCGAGATACGCCCACCTTCTAGCAGGACCAAATGATCTACATGTCTGAGCAGTTGAACTCGATGGGTGACCAGGATACGGATTTTCTTTGACAGAAACTCGTTCAGACATCGATCTAGTAGCATTTTGCTTACATGGGAGTCAACGGCGGATAGCGGATCGTCCAGAAGGTAGATATCTGCTTTCCTGTAGACAGCCCGAGCCAAGCTAACCCTAGCTTTTTGACCGCCACTCAGGCTAGCACCTCCTTCACCCACTCGTGTGTTATCACCTGATGGCAGCTCTTCCACATCCCTGTCCAGGTGACAAACTCGCAGGACCTCTAGATATCGCTGTTCATCGTAAGGTTCCGTAAAGAGGATGTTCTCGCGGAGACTGCCCCGAAGTAGCCAGGGTTCCTGAGGGGCATAGCTTAGAACTCCATTAAGGTCCACATTGCCACTAATGATATCCAGCTCGCCCAGGATTACTTGGAGGAGAGTACTCTTTCCAGCACCAACTGTTCCCACGATGCCCACAAACTGCTGATCAGTGGCCTGAAAACTAACATCCTCGATGTGGCGATGACGCTTTTCCTGGTTAGTCTGATCCCAACTGGCGGTGAGTTTATGGACCGTAATACTCTTGACTTCAGCTTTGGGTTTGTGGGTTCGTCCAAAAAAGTTGCCATGCTCTGGATTATCCTCTGCCTCCTTGAAGTTGTGCACTCCGCCGTCAGCAGGATTCTCGTGTTGGAAAAGGAAGTCCTTCACGCGGTTGGCCACCACAAAGGTCTCCACCCACATATTAATGGCCAAAGGCCAGGAGTGCAACAGAGAATCATTCAGGTGATCATAATAACTGGCAACTATAAACACCTTTTGGGAGGTGACAATGTCACCCGTGAAGACATAGGTTACCAAAGAAAGAAAGAGGGATAGCTTGGAGATCATGCCAGTGCACTGCAATCCCGCGTAAATGTAGGTTGAACCCCTTATAGAGTCCATCTCCTCCTTTCTCACCTTTCCAATAAGTTTGGCAAAGGACTTCTCCCAGGCGTACATCTTGATTAGTTGCATGGCTGCGATAATCTCGTTCATCAGCTTTACTCTTTCGTCTCCAACATCCGCAGAACTTCTTTTGTACCGGGCTATTGCGCGGGCGGCCCAAGCTTGGAGCGGTATAAAAGCCACGATGGTGCCCAGACCCACAACCGCCGGCCAGCCGATCAGTTGGTATATGATGTAGATGAACACCACGCCCTCCAGCGGACCTCGCCACAGCTCGTGGAAACAGTAGAAGGACTCGTTAAAGGTCGGCAGATCGGTGGCCATCAGGGATATGGCATAGCCACTCACGCCGCTGTTGTCCGCCGCCACCGAAACCCGCAGGAACTTCCGGTAGACGAGGCCGGCGCAGGCCAGCCGGACGCGGGAACCCACTCGGAACAGGTACTTCATAAAGGGATGAAAAAAAAGTCCCGAGATCAGGGAGCACAGAACCACCCCCATGGCATACAGATAAGCTGAGTGCTTAGTGATTTTTCCAGTGCTCTCCGAGAAAAAGGACACCAATCCGCCCAGCATCAAAGGCTGCGTTGTGCTGGGGATGATTGAGAAGTGGCTATGTTCAAGCGAGATAAACATACTTATATATCGTATATATAAGATTTTCTTAATATAATTATAAAAGAACAAAAAATAATAGGTATATAGGAATACATTTAATCAAGTCTGAAAATATTTTCCCGTCGCCAAATTTTGATTAACTGTGGTTCAAATTGCCGTTCAAATGAATTATAGAAGTGACTTTAAGGTCGATATTAAAAATTAATAGTTTAAGAACAACTTTTAAATATAATTAAATGACGTTATCTATAATTTTATGGGTAAGTTTACAAGAAATAAAATCAATTTTACTACTTTTGTTTCCTGACGTAAAATTGGTTTGCAAATAGAGTACTTACTGCACTGCAATGGCCATGATGGAGTAGACTATGCTCGCAGGCACAAAACTCCAGCCGTATGCTTTGAATATCATACGCAGGACGTTGGGCTTGGGGCGTTTCAGTTCCTGCTCCCAGTGGCCGAGCAGGAAGGCGGATACCTGGGTGCTCTCGAGACTCGGTTCGGGGGCGTAGAGATCCGACGGATCTAGACTCCGTTGCATTCCCTTTACGAGAATCTCTCGGGTCCAGCTGGAAGGATAGAGAGCACATAGGCAGATGGGCGGGTTATTGACGGACTTGATAGGTGTCGCCGGGCTGTCCCGGATTCTTTTATCGCACTTCAAAGGAATCAAACGAATCAAACTCGCGCCGTAAATTCCGAGTGACGGCCAAGGTTCTGTGACCATAAATCTGAAGGTGGGCAGTTCGTCAGCTGGACAGCTATATCTTATCAGCAGGACTTCAAGAGGGGTCAGCTCGCGAAATCAGTTAACTTGAATTGAATGGAGCGCTTCTCACGAGTTAATAATTTTAGAAATATTACGTATACTCTCCGAATATTACGTATACGACGTGGGTGGCACAGGTTTTTCACTCACATAAAGAACCATTTTGAAAGAAAGTTGGCCTTTGTCACTGGATTCGGCTGCCGTTCAACATGGACCGCACTCATTTTTATATACACTCTACTACCATATATATATGTAGTTCGAGTAAGTGTATTAATTTCGCGAATAAATATCACATATATGTATGTTATATCCTTGACTCGATTCAAGGCACTCGCGTGCGATTCTTGTGCCGATCCACTCACCACTGACTGCTGCCCGCCTCGGCATTTCAATTTTAACTAACCACTAGCCACAACGCCGTGGTCGGGAATCATCGCTATAAATCAATGATCCGCCCTATCGGCCAGCGGCAGCCCAGTTTTATCTTAATGCCGACTGACAGCCACCCATCAGCCGACATCGGAGTAGACGCTGCAGCAACTCCGGGCCACGATATTTTGGCTAAGTGGGTTTCGCTGTTGTTTACGAGAGTTTCGGGAAACGGTCGGGGCATCCCGGTGAGGAGTGTGGTGAGAGGGAGCGGGCCACAGTGGACACCTCTCCGGTATCTTATCGTAATCACAGCTACCGTGTTGACTTACTTTGATTACACTTTTCAGCAATTGACAATTTTAATTGGAGCTGCGAAAGGTTCATCCTTATCGATCCAAACATGACTAACATAGATCTTGACAGTCGCGTCCAAGATTCTTAGAGGAAAATCAAACACAATACAAAACATATTGGAGCAGACCTTTTAGAACAAATTTCAATAAGCAATAACTGAAATACTTGTTTATGAAATTTTTGATGATTGATTGCGAATATTAAGCGTACCCTTGATACTATTTAAAGGATCTAAATTAAACCAGGAAAACATAAAGTTGTTCTTTAAATTAGAAAATAAAAATTAGGTTTTTTTATACTCAAGAATTCGCCAAAAGTAAGATTTACTAAATTTTGAAACCCATTCTCAGCATTTTTAAGGGTTGAATAAATATTTGATATTTGACTAGATTTGATAAAAACAAAAACATACAAAATTAAAGATCTAGACCCTATTTTGCAGTGAGACATAAATAAGGTCTATAAATTTAACAAATATTATTTTTAATATTGGTATTTTAATTATTACGGCTGCCCATTTTACGAATGGTCAAAAAAGGGTTAATGCACCGATTAGCGCTTGTTGAAGATCAAAGGTGAACACCGCAAAGTGGAAATTAAGCACTTATTCATTTTTCATTTGTAAGTAATAATTCTCAGGCACTTTATTGAGATTGTACGTATCTATAAGTACAATGTTGTAATCCTACATTAGCTACATATTTTAAAAAAGTACCTAAACAAACTATTTGTCTTTGTTTGATTGAACTTGCTTGAATTTGTGCACAGCGTTTGCAAATTGCTTTCGATTGGTTTGCCAATTGAACACATGACGTACAAAACATAGGTGATACAAACATTACTCGGTACACTATGGAACATATACATACATAAATTCGTGGCGATAAACATGCTTACAAATATTTCGTAAGTACAAGGCAATTGGTAATTCGTTAGCTTTAAGTACAACTTTGCTATTTACATAATACTTTCAGTTCTTATGATCTAACCCTTAAGCAAGTTTAGAAGTAGGTGAGTGTGCGTATCGGTCACTGCGACTTTTCTTCCATGGCTAATGTGATGTTCATATCCTCTGCGGCCGTATCATCACCCAGGACCTGCTTGCTGTAGCTCTGTTCTGCAGCCTGCTGAAGAGCAAAGGATGTGGCAGCTCCCGTGTTGTCCACCAGTTGGCGCAGGTATCCCCCGGATCGCTGCAGCAACTCGTACGGATGACCCAGCTCGCGGACCTCGCCGGCATCCATGACCAGCACCTTGTCACTATCCATTACTGTGTGCAAACGATGGGCTATTGTTAAAACTGTGCAGTGCGCGAACTTTGTGCGTATGGTCTGCTGGATAAGCTTGTCGGTTCTGAAATTAAAAAAACAAAATTATAAATATGTAAAATTAACATTTGTTACTTCTTGAACCTACTCTGGATCAACATTGGCAGTGGCCTCGTCCATGATCAGTATTTTATTGTGCCTGAGAATTGCTCTCGCCAGGCACACAAGCTGCCTTTGGCCCACACTAAAATTTGATCCGCCATCATACATACGACAATTGAGTCCACCAATCAAAGTAGACACATAGGAACGAAGTTCCACATCGCCCAAAGCCTTCCACATCTCCTCATCCGATCGCTCGTCCATTGGATCCAAATTGTAACGCAAAGTACCAGAAAACAAAACCGGATCCTGGGGTATAATGGAAACCTGACTGCGCAGATCATGCAACCCAATATGCTCAATGTCCACATCATCGATGCGGATCATGCCTTCGTTGCAGGCCAGTCTGAAGATGGACTGTATAATAGACGATTTACCGGCACCAGTGCGGCCAACAATGCCAATCTTCTCGCGCGACTCGATGGTGAAGTTCAGATCCTTAAGCACAGGGGCTTCTTTGGGTGAGTAGCGCAGCTTAAAGTTGATGAACTCGATGCGTCCCTTGCTGGGCCACTCGGTCTTCGGCTTGCACTTCTCTGACGTCTCCAGCGGCGCCTCCGACGGCTGCTCCGTGTACTCCAGCACTCGCTCCACGCTGGTCATTTGGTTTTCCAACTCCGCAGTCTGCCTCATGCCCCACTGACACATGCCCGTCATCGTGGTTGAGTGTAGGATGGCTAGTCCGACGTCGCCACTATCGAACTCATTCTTTAAAAGCAGAAAACTGAATGTCACTGCCGTCATGTAGACGATACACAGCACGTCCGACCATAGGGCAAAGGCGCGAGTGCAGGACAGGAAGAGGAACCAGGCGGAGGTGTTGGTGTTCTGGTACTCATGAAACTCCTGCTCCAGGGCGCTTTGGGCCTCCAAAGCTCGAATGGTGGTGAGACCCTGGAAGGTTTGGTTTGTCAGCGAGAAAACCGGACTGCGAGCTGGAAGAGAAAGCAGCAGACATTTAAAAATAAACAAAAAGGTATCTTATTTTTAAAAAAAAAATTACGTGAGAGCAATATAATTAAAGGCAAAATTCAAGACTATTGCTTATAACCCTGGCACTGATATAATTCACCCATTATTAATACTTACATATGGACTCTAATCGCTTGACACTGCGACTGGTATTGACATAGAGGTAACGTATCATGCCCAGAATCAGACCAATGATAGTAGCAGGAACCAGGAGCCAATAGTTAGCAATGGCCACAATGATTACCACGCCAGAGACATCGATGATGAAGGCTAGGCAATCCAGCAGAGTGTGCGGCAGATCTGTGTCCACTGTGCGAATATCCTTGGAGAAGCGATTCAAAATTCGGCCTGAGGAGTTCGTGTTAAAGAAGTACATGCTGGCCCGGGTAATTCCACGAAAGAGTCTGTCGTGCAGGTGCAGCGAGATTCGAAGGCACATTTTAAAAAAGCCAAAAGTACGAATAAGATAGACGATAAGCGTGGCGCCCAGTATGGTGGCATAGAAGAGGACGAGCTCTTGGCGAACGCTGGCCTGAATTTCACCAGCTGTTAAAGGCGCGATAGAGGGATCCGTTGAATTGATAGGCACTGTGTCATTTTCGTTCAGCAGGGAGGTAGTGCTATTGGCCGATATTTGCTCCTCCCAAATAACCCTGGAGAATAAATTGCATAATTATTATTCTAGTATAATATTAATAACGAAATCATTTACCATCTAGACAGGAAGTAATCCACTCCAGTGAGCATGACCCTGGCGCAGACAAACAAAGAGATAATTATACAAAGCAGGAAGGTGCTGTCCAAAGCCTTGATGTACGAGGCGTAGACGTGCATTTTAATGGCGCCCACGGACTGTTGCTCCTGGTTGACCTCCTCCACATGTTCGTCCGGCCGAAGTAGCTGGTTGTGCTGATGCTCCATGCTCTTCTCCGAATCGCTTCGTGACAAATAGCTGCTCACACTGTGCGTGTCGATGCCACTCTCGTCGTGTTGCGTCTGCTCAAGGAACTGGAACTGGCGTGAGCGCTGAAGGTCCTGGTAGCTACCCTGGGCCACAATCTTTCCGGAGCCCATTAGCAGCATGTGCTCTACATCGAACAGATATTGCACCTGATGGGTGACCAGAATTCGTATCTTGTTGGACAGAAAGTCGCGTATGCAGCGGTCAAAGATGTGCTTTCCCACGTGGGTATCCACAGCGGAAAGAGGGTCATCGAGAAGGTAAATATCCGCCTTGCGGTAGACAGCTCGAGCTAAACTCACTCGGGCCTTCTGCCCACCGCTGAGACTCACTCCCCGCTCTCCAACCACTGTCAAATCCCCTCGGGGTAGCAGCTCCATGTCCCTCTCCAAGCCACAGGCCTTGACCACCTTCTTATACCGCCTCTCGTTGTAATCCTCTACAAAAACGATGTTATCGCGAATGGTTCCCTCGAATACCCAGCTTTCCTGGGAAGCATATGAGATCTTGCCGTGCACCATGGCCTCGCCCTTGTCGATGCCCACTTCGCCCAGCAGTACATTCAGGAAGCTGGACTTACCAGCACCTACTGGTCCAACAACAGCGGCCAGTGTATGATCCTTTATAACCGTGCTAAAGTCCTCGATGGCACAGTTGGCATGACCTTCACTGGCGTCCCACGAGGCAGATACATTTTTAAGAACCACGCACTTTTCTGTTGCTTCTGGATCGTAGTCCCTCAGACGATTGTGCTGCAGCTGACCGTTGCACAGCAGGGAGCCATTCAACTCCACGTTCTTTTGCTTGTCCTTCTTGGTGATTTTTCGCTTGTTTTTACCAGTTTGCTGATTTGCCTCCATATTAATGGGCACCTCGGCTCTGTCGCCGTCTAACAGGAAATCCTTGCAACGTTTCGCCGAAACCAGAGCCTCGGCAATAAATGTAATAGACATGGGCCAAAATGTTACCATTGAATCGTTGAGCATATTGAAATAAGACGACACTGTGTACACCTTTTGTGCGGTCAAGGGATCACCCAGGTAAACGTATGAGCACAGGGCTAAGAACACAGATAGCGGTGATATCATGGAAGTGCAACCGAGGGCAGCATGGACGTAGGCTGTGCCACGGATGGCCTTCACCTCCTTAAGGCGAACCTCGGCGATGACACGGGCAAAGCTCTTCTCCCACGCATACATCTTGATCACCTGAATGCCCTGGATGATCTCGTTCATAAGCTTCACACGCAAATCCGTTCGCTCCGCTGTCTTTTGTCGATAGTAGGCTGCTTTCTTGGCGGCCCACGCTTGCAGTGGAATAAAACTGAGCATGAAGGAGACACCAATTACAGCTGATATTCCAATCTCACGGTACATGAGAAAGCCAATAAGGATCGACTCCATCGGGCCCTTCCACGTGTCGTGGAGGAAACAAAGAGCCACATCGAAGCGTCCGAGATCGTTAGACAGGATGTTGATGGCCCGCCCTCGAAGGCCATCGTTGCTGCTGCTCTTGGAGACCTGCAGGCACTTGCGGTAGATGAGTCCTGATAGGGCCAGCCGCAGCTTGGTTCCCACTTGGAAGATGTAAAATATGAAGGGGTGGAATGTTATCACAGGCACCAGCATGCAAATCACAATTCCCATGGCGTACAGATACGCTGACTGTTCACTGATATCCGTCTGGTTTGTGGCAAAGTATCCGACCAAACCACCCAGGAATAGTGGCATGAGAGATCTGCAGAGAAGTTAATAAGATAAGCTTATCCGGTTTACCGTAAACTGTTTCTACCTACTTGCAAATCGTTTCGCTTATGGAGAAGGCCAGACCCATGGGCAGGAAAATCTTGCCGTAGGCGCGGAGGATCATCCTCACCACGCTGGGATTACTTCGCTTCAGCTCATCGTCCCACAGTTCTGCAAACTTATTCGTCACCCGTTCACTATCTAAAGTCTTCCTGTGCTGATACAGCTCCTCGTCCGTCAACGGCCCTTGGAGTCCTCGCTTGAATAGATCTCGCATCCACCTGAAGGTCAGAAAAAGATTAGCGCATAACAGAAATTAATTTATTTTCATGTTAAACTACCAAAGAAATATAAACTTTGAAAGTGGTCTTTAAGTTCAAGAAGCAAGTTTATATTCAAATTATGACTCATAAAAATCCAATATATATTTATATTTACTAATTATTGACAGTTCGTTGACTTATTTTTCTACCAAATTTGACTACTTATTTTTAATGAATTTTTTTGTCTAAAGTTGAATTTAAGCAAACTCTAAAGTTTTTTGTCCTATTTTCTTGTGAAATGTATATTAGAAGAATTTTTGAAATTGCCTTCTCACGTGGGAAAAGATAAGATAATTTATTATGTACTTTCAAATTAACTTCAAACTTAAAAAAAAGGTTTATGATGAAAAGAAATTATTTTCCAAACTAAATTAAAGTTCTCTTTTCTGATATATTTTAATTTCACTGTGGGTTAAATTTTATAAGCGTTATTTTATGCCAAAATTTAATATAGTATTATATACAATTTTTTTCCCGCAGACAACGTGCTCTAAAACAAAAACTGTCCAAACATAAACTTTAATAACAAATTTAATCAAAAAATTCTTTAAAAAAATGTTTTTCTTGATTAGAATGATGTTTATGCCATCATAACAATCTAGGTTAAATAATTTCTACAATTACTCCGACATCGAAAAAATATTGTAATTCTAATTTGCAATAAAACTAGAGCTACTTGATAAGTAATAGTTTACGATGCCCCTATAAGTTCACAGAAGACCTTTAAATGAGCTTTTGGTGAGGGAGACAAGGTTAGATAGTTTTTGTTAGGATTTTATATGATTTCCTGGGTTTTGTTGGTATTTAATTAAGTAAAGTCTTTGTAGTAACGACATCAATTAAGATATCTCCAACATTGTTTGTTGTTAAAGGAAACTGCCCCTAATAAAACATAGACGAGCATCACAATCAAAGAAATATTCTAGCGAATTTCGTTAGACTCACAAATTGCTAAAACACCCCAGACACTGTTTGATTACACATTAATTAAACAATTATAGTTGGGTATCCACTTGCATATACAGTGAATACTGGGTAAATAGATTAAAAATGTTTGATTTAAATGACATATTCTTGCATATTATGTAAGTATAATACCAAAATCAATAATTAATGGCTTAAATTTATCAGATAATAAAATTAATTTGGCAAATATTATTAACTCTGAGTATAAAGCACAAAGCTGAATACGTGTAAATTGATTGGTGTTAATCGAATGAATAACTAAAGATTTGTCTGTTTAAATATATACTTATTTTGTCTTTTTTAATCTTGATAAGACGGGTGTAAGGAAAGCAATAGATATATATTTTTTTTCCTAAGATTATTGTTTTTGAATATGAATTTTTAACAGGCGAAGGGCAATGTGATGTTACCCCACGTAAAAACGATACAAAAATATTTAACAAAAACCGTTTTCATAAATTTACAAATCAAAATTTCTTTGAATAAAGAACGTTAATAAGTAGTGCGTATAATATACAACACTTCTAAAAAATTCCTTTTTTACAAGAGACTACTGTAAAATCATTAGAAATCTAGCAACAAAACTACAAGATTTCAAATGAAAACCGTGCTCATGAGACAGCTCTGCCTGTAAACTAAAATTCAGCCTTATTGTGTTCATAACAGTATAGCGATAGAATCTTTGTAGTAAATGTGACATTGTAGGAATTGTGAATTCAAATTTGTGCTTTATCAGCTGAACTTAGACTGTGGACGCTTTGTTTATTAGAGGAAATCGAAATGAATCGCGGGTGCCAGATCCATCTGGTTGCAATTGGCAACGCCATATTGTGGACGCCAGATAAAGATGTAACCTTGTGGCCAACGATGACATTTAATAAAACTGTGCCATCCAATTTAATGGATTTTCGTTTTATTTCTCATTAGAACGGGCCAGGCCTTATCGTGCCCACCGAACTTATCGGCCCGAACAAGCTATTACAACTAAACTAATTATACGATAGGTGTGATCCTGATACTACAATATGGTCAAAACACGTGCTATTTGGAAACCGCAAAGATATAATTTACCGTAAATAATGTGCTCGTATGTAATGTCTGGCTATTCGCATTCCTTTTCCTATAAAGGGGTATAATGTCAGCAAACTTACCAGAAACTCCATTGTGAGAAGAAGTTGGCCTTGGTGTAGGGATTCTTTGGGCGCACTACCTTCCTTCTGGTGCGGTTCATAATTTTGGGAAGGGTTCCGGGGGTTTCTGGGGTCTGGGGTTTACCGTTACGGCAGTGATTCTCTCGCTCGCGGGCGAGGGGCGTTTACTTTCTCTTTTCTCCGTTCCACTCCTCTTTCCTGTTGAAATGGTAGTGAAAATCAATAATGCATAGCCGGCAACAATAAATCGCTTGGTTTCGGTTTATACAACGTATATATGTATAAATGTTGTCTAGGTCGAGGTCAGCAATGATTTATCCGCCGTTATCCACATTTACCGTTTTTGCGCCAACAACCGTAATAAAGAACTGGCAACTGCGTCGGAGATGAGATGTAAATTGCTCGGATTTTTTGTATACGTATTTGGTAAGTGTGCTATATGCTAATTAACAGTCGTCTGGCACAATATTCACAATTTGGTCAACACTAAGGCTATGGGAATTTACACTAATATTACGCGGATGAAGCACCCGCACGGAATAACAAAAAAAAACCTACTGAGCTGGGAGAGAAAATTCGCTCTGCATTTATACTTGAGAGATGTCGAGCGTTGCCACCCAGCCGCATTTTTATACCCTGTATTTATTTAGTGTGGCGTATCAACCTAATATATGTAGCAGGGATCATAAATAGTTTTTGACTTTTAAAATACATAACTTTGTGATTAGAATTTTAAGTATGTCGATCAATGCATTTTCCAAAGGTTTGCATTGCCTATAATACCGGCAGTTTAAAACAATCAATAATAATATTTATAGTAACTTTATGAATCAGAAATGTTTTTAATTAAATTTTTTTAGACAGCTATCAAAAAAACATCGCCGATCTGATGTCAGCGATGAAAATGTATGTATTCAATGTATGGTGTGTGGAAAACAATTTTTACTGGGTATCTAACGGTCGACGTCAGATGGGCATTACTATAATTTTTTTTATATTTGCCCTGGGCGAATAACTGTGATTCTAGTCGGCTGTTTGTTTTTAAAATCCACTGGTAACTTGAGCAATAAGTAATATGTAGTAAAAAAGTTGAATAATAGTAATTTACTTGTTGAATTTTTATTTTAAAATATTCAACTCCATGGCAACAAACAAGGGCGTGACAAAAGGGGACTACGATTCTTTTTAATGACTTGATTTTTGGAAAATACTATTTTATACGACTACTATTTGTATATTCTAAGATTAGTTTCTTATGACTTCAAATTTTGTATATCGTTTAACATAAAAATCTTATTTTTGAATCAAACAACAATAGTTATTTTTTTATTGAGGAAAAAGTTCCCCTTTTTCCCCCTTTACTACGCCCTTGTCAAGAGAGCGGTTGTAAAACAATTCAAATAAACTCTGAGAATACTAAATTGAGAACGAGCAATTGCCCAGCGTTGTGAAATCGGTTATTTATTTGTTAATGTTTGGGAGGTGATTCTTTCAACGGGTGGCGAAACAAGCTTTCTTGACCGAAAGTTCTTGGGAGATAATACTGAGATTGGAGCCCGCCACAAAAGCGTCACAGGCAATCAAACACCTTGGGGGATCATAAAGCAAAGTACACATTATTTACATCTTGTACGATGAACATTTTATTGTGTTATAATTAGGGATAAGCATTTCGTGTTTTTTTTTGTTGATTAGTACCTCTCGTAAAAAGTATGCAAGGTTGAAATCAAACAGGTTTACTTAGATAATGACAAACAGCATGCCCATTTAGTCCTCGATGTATTCGAAGGGCTCTGGTGGCTCCGGCTCCTTCTCCTCGTCGTTCATGGGCCCAAAGGCAGCAACTGGCTCTACGAGTTCCTGGTCCTCAGCTTTGCCAGTGTGCTGGAAAACAATGATTCCACCGATAGTGACATCCTTCAACGGTTCATACGATTGCCCATCGATAACGCTAAGGACTTTCAGTTGCTGGCGGAGCACACGGGCGGGATTCTGCAGAATTTCGGATGTGGGCTCTGGCTCCTTCTTCTCCTTCTTTTCTTTCTCCTTATCCTTGTCGCTGCTGGTGCCAGCCACCTCCTTGTCCTCCTCCTTTTTCTTTTCCTTTTCCTCCTTCTTCTTGGTCTTCTCCTCCGTCGCCGGCTTCTCTTCGGTCTTAGTTTCTTCCTCCTTCTTAACAGCAGTGCTCTCCTTGCTGTCCTCGTCCACATCCATCTTCTCGTCCTCTTTTTTGTCCGCATTTTCGCGTCTCTTCTGGCGGGCGGCAATAGATAAGACTGCGGTGGCCACCTTCTCGCGCTCCTCGCTCTTCTTCTCCTCCAGTGGAGCGGGATAGGCGTACAGGGAGGGCTTGGCCGCCGACTTGTACTCCATCTTGGGCATCTTTAAGTCGGAGTTCAGGCCAATTACGCAGGTGGGCGTGAAGGCCAGCGACAGGGTGTGCGCCAGAGGGAACCAATACCAGTACTGGGTAAAGGCGAGCATTCCTACCACCGCCTGCAGGTTGGTGTGTCCTGTGCGGGATTGCAGGGATAGAGTGGCATTTCGACCACCAGCATCAATAATGCCTGAAAAAGTTGGTGTTAGATTAATTCATTATATATATAAATAATTATTACCGCTAAGCTAGCTTTATAAAAATAAAATAAATATTGTATGGGCTGAATAACAACATGAATCACAGAACTTAGTAAGAAACAAAATATTAAAACAGAATCTTAACAATTAATTAGGCGAGAAAACGTCACACAGTACTTCGAAGAGTAAAATCAAATGTATGTATTTGTAGTCAAACGCCGGCATATTCTCAATCTCCATAAAAAGTAAATTGTATTCCGCAATTTTCTCGAAAAAGTGGAAATAAAAATGTCCCACACCCCAAAGGATTATTTTTAAGCTAATACAAGGAATATAATTTTTTTGTGCTTACCCTGTGCCAGAATAGCGCCATACTTGGCCATAACATCTTCGTGCTTGTTGCTAATGACCTCGGCATACAACTGGCGGAAGAAGGTCGATTTGGGACAGCTCTGGTCCGTGTGCTGAATCAAGATCATGGCAGAGGCGATCAGCGCACCCTGGCGCACAAAGTTCACCGGATCGAACTTTACCATCGGCTCCAGAAGGGCGATAGCCTCGCGCAATCCTGTGCCGGCACAGGCGATACCCAGCGCCATTGCGGCTCCGTATCGGACATGCGGGTTGTAAGACTCGGCAAGCAAACTCACCACCGAAGGACACTGCTCCGGAGTGCGGAACAGAATGAAACCGATGGCGGTGACGGCAGCGCGTCGTACATCATCATTCACGTCGGAGACGGCAACGTGGAGTAGCTTACGGATTGCCTTGTTGCTGCCAGTTCCATTGTAAGCCATAGCGATGGTATACATTCCCGATCGACGGAGGACGGGATCCTTATCGGTGGATAGGCTGGTCACCAAGGGATCAGCCTCCTCCAAACGCGAGAACATAGTAAGGGAGATGCCCACTGCCAGGCCGCGAAGGATCTTCTCGTGCTGCGTCTCCTGCGCATACGACACCATGTCCTCGATGGCCTGAGCGTTCTTGGAGCCCAGCATTACCATGCCCATTGCGATTCCTGCTGCTTCTCCTGTAACGGCGTCATCTTGGTACAGATTGAACTTTAGCTGCTCGTACAGATCCTGCCGATGGGTTCCCATGCCAGCGAGACCCAGTCCAAGACAGCCGCCGTGACGAACATTCTCGTTCTGGGCATCCTTTAGCTGTTGCAACAGGTAGTCTATTATGTTGGCTCCATGATTTGCGTGGATCAAGCCCAACGCATATAGGGCACCACCTTCCGAGTAACCAGAGCTCGGACCCGCCTCCTTCGGCAGGTAACTCTGCATTAGCGCCAGCGAGTCCTTCTCGTGGCCCCTGTGAATGACTCCAAGCGAGGCTGTCGCCGTCAGCTTGGCCCAATTCGTTGCCCTGGCCAGCCAGTCGAGGTTGTCGCGCAGGAACTGGTCGGAGGTGGTGCCGCTGTGCATGAAGGCGTTGGCAATAACAGTAGCTGTGTGGCAGATGGACACGCGGACCGCTTCTTTTGTGCCTCGCAGAACTTGCAAGTCAGCGTGGTTGCTGCGGATGAGGAACTGAAGCTGCAGGTCGATGGATACCTCGCCGGAGAGGATCGATATTAGCTTTTCAATGTTCTTCTGATGCAACTTTTCAACTTCATTTAGCGAATCGATTGTACGCTCAACTTTAGCATCAACTGGGGAATTATAATTCGATTTAAAATAGCTTTAGAGATTGGGTTACAAAATCCAGCTTACCTTGCTTTTCTTCTGTAATATCCTCGTCTGATTTGGACTTGTCCCCCTCCGACTTGGCTCCATCCTCGGAGCTTGTGCCTTGTGGCTTAAATGTGCTTGGCAGGGCGGTCGGAATGGGAGCGGTGTTTTTCAAGGCCTGCAGTACATTTCCCAGGAATTCCTGCGTGGCCGACTCGTACAAATCAAATGCAATCTGGTAGGCCATCAGATTGTTTGTCTCCACCGAAGATCGTGTAAGGGTGTCCAGCATTTCGGCCACGGCAAACGGATCCTCGAGGAATATGAGGCACTGGCACATATTGACGTAGTCGGGTACTCCCAGATCCCGATACAGACCCACCAGGCAGCGTAGCACCTGGTTGCGGAAGCCGCGGTTCTGAATCAACGACATGGTCACGTTGTAGGCGTACGCCAGCATGCCACGCACATCGTCCGACTTCATAATGGCCGCCTCGAAGATGTCCATGCGACGGGTCTCCAGGGCAATGCCCAAGGCCTGGCGGAATTGGTTGTCATCAAGACAGCGCTGAATCATCCTGTTCACAATCCCCTCTAGCCGCTCGTCAACAGTGCTCGCTTCCTTAGGATTCTCGATGAACTCCACCCGCTGGGCAATGTAGAAATCGATGCATTTGGCAATAATGGTCTCTGTGTACTCGTTCCGGGCATTTACGTCGAAGAGATCGCCTGCGCCTAGGGCGTAGGTGAGGGCGTCCTCGAAGGAACCCAGGTGATAGAACACCTTGGAGGCCACCATACCAGCCAGCTTGTTTTCTGGGAAGCTGCGGTCCTCGTGCAACATCTCGATCTTCTCGATGGACTCCGAGATCTCCGGCCAGAACTCATCTACGATGTTGTCCAGTTTCTTGAGGGCGAACACCTTGAGATCCGGCATCGGCTCATCTAGTAGGGAAATTATCCCCGCGGCGGACGTAAGACTCATTTTTCAGCTGCGTTGTTTCCAGTCAAAAGTATGTTCTACAAATTTGTAATTGACATATGTTTTACTTTGTTCAAAAACCGTTTTTAATGTGTTGAATATAGGTAAATATTCTGCGTACTAACCACCAATTGTACCGTTTCAATTTTCAATTTTCTTTGTGGCCGAAAAAAATGCTAAATCACTCGAATAAGCAGACAGTGTGACCTTGCTGGCGAAGCTCAGAAATACCTTGGAAATAGTGTTGGAAAGTGATAAACTTCAGATTATTTATAGCGTTAAAAATTGCTAGTTTGAACATGATAAATAGCAAAATTTAAAATGTTCATGTTTAAGGACAAAAATACTTTTAAAACTTTTGTGTAATTTTGAAATATTATTAAGATTTACGCTCTTAAATTTAACATTTCTTGGTGTACACATTTTTAATATAATTTTCTGCACAACTAAGAGTTTTTCACCTTTTAGTTTCGGCTCCATATATTGTCGCCTAAAATTTAAAAGGCAGAACTAGAGAAATTGAGCATATCACTGGACTCGCTGATAAATGGTGTTTAAAATTGGTCTTGTGATGAAATAATCTTGGCCTAATGCTGAAAGAATCTAATAGGCGTCTTTAAAAAATAATTCTGTCTAAACGATCGACTTAAAATAAAAAGTATTATGATGAATTTTCTAAAAGCAAAGTTTCCAACTAAGTATTTTAAATGGTCGAATAAAAAATTTGGATTGTGAACATAATAAGTTTCAGTTAAGCTAAAATCTTAAAAAAAAAGAAGGCCATGATCAAGTTATCATTCTGATTTTCCTGTCAGGAGACAAGGGCATAAAACAGGTTGGCTTTTCAGTTTGTTGAACTGAAACTGCATCCTTCATTTAATGAAACCAAACAGTAGGAAAGTTCTAATAGTAATAATTAATAATTTTCCAAACTTTATGAGTGACCAGTTCGCGGATTTTGTGATTTTTTACCATTGTATTGCTAATTTAATCTGTTCACCTGGGCACACTGAACGGACTCGCGAGCATCACAACAAAAAACGCGCGAAGGCTGTCGGGCAGAAAAGCCAAAACATCGCCGTGATAACATCCTCGCCGGCAACGAAACGCATCCTTCGCACCACACTAAACACTTGGAAAACAAGCGCGCAATCATGCTCTTCGAGGATCAACACATGTCCGTGGACAACACCCCCCAGAAGGGCTCCGGTAGCCTGAATTCCTCAGCATCCTCCATATCTATTGATGTGAAGCCAACGATGCAGAGCTGGGCCCAGGAGGTCCGGGCGGAGTATGGCCAAAGCGATGAGGTAAGTTGATGATGGTCGGTACTAGTTAGAATCCTGTTAAAAACACTTCCCTTGTGTATAGGCCTCCAGTTCGCTAAATAGCAGCGCCGCCAGCTGCGCTTCCTTGGTCAAAAAAGAGCCAGCGGAGGTTAAACTGGAGCCCATTGAAGGCGAGTCAGGTCGGGAAATGGCATTTGAGTTTCTGGACAATGTCAACGAGGAGAAATTCGAGCGCCTGGTCAAGGAGGAAAAACTGAAGACGCCCTACAAGCGTCGCCACTCGCAAACACCGCCCAGCAACGAGAACAGTCGCTCCAACAGCCCAAACAGCAGCAACTCCTCTGCCAATGGGGATGCAGCGTCCACCAAGAGTGGCAATAATCCGCGTCTAAGGAACCACAACAAATCCAGCGGTTTCCGTGGCCACAAGGAGGAAAAGCGGGTGCGCCACAACAGCTACACATCCTCCACCTCGTCCTCCTCCTCCTACACCGAAGCCGATCCCGCCGTCCTAGCCCGTCGCCAGAAGCAAATAGATTACGGCAAGAATACTGCTGCCTACGAGCGTTATGTGGACATGGTGCCAAGGACTGAGCGAGCCCGCGAACACCCCCGCACCCCGAATAAGTACGGAAAGTACAGCCGGCGGGCATTCGATGGTCTCGTGAAGATCTGGCGCAAGAGCCTCCACTTCTACGACCCACCCACTCTCACCAAAACCACCGCTAACGACAGCAATACCGACTCGGATTCGGATTAGAATCTCGTCATAGGGCCGGGCTACGTTTTTCAATTATATAAATTGGGGGTTTACATTACCTACTTATTATCAGTACAAAATTGAGCTAACTAAAACTATGAAAAACACGCATTTCCAAGTTACAAGGCCATGCAAAGAATTGTTACCACAGATGTTTTGTTGAATAAAATGGCGTCTTACAAGATCCTTGGGTTTCCCACCTTTTCCTACCTGAGAAGGTTCTTGGCATTTCAGAGAGGAAAAAGACGGCGAAATTTTCTCAGCGTGGTCACTGCTCGGGTTGCGTGGATGTACGATTTTGTCAAATATGGAAGTGGGAAAAATTCAAGGACACACCTTGATTTAACATATTGAGGTCCTTGACGCGAATCCTTAAATGTTGGTTCGATGATCGCACTGAATTTGTTATAGTCAACATATCATTTGTAATTCAAAAGTTAAACTTCTGATAGTGGAAAGGGAACAAATTACTTAATGTTTTCAATATGGTTTCAACTGACAAACAAGGGCCCCATTATATATGGTAAGATTCATATCGCTGCAAAGCTTAACAAATATTTAAAATTCTTTTATTTTATTAATATAAAATTAACAAACACTTGAATTCAAAATTTTTTTTTTTTTTTTACTGGAATCCCACCAATATCTTTGCCAAGCCAAATCTGGCTAAAAAATATCTCAAAGTGCAACTCTACTGTTGTTTGTTTTCACCGTGGCATGTGCCAATCCAAATCCTTTTGGTTAATTTCTTAAGCACACAAAACCGGATCGACGGACAGATGTTTCTCAAGCCTTACAGACCGAAGAGCAGTGCTGCCCTGAAGGGATCCGATAGCAAGAAGTTCCGGCAGCGTGTGGAAGCGGCGTTTCCCCATGTGTCCGTGGATCAGCTGGTGCCGGCGAAGGCGGCGGTGACCCAGGTAAAGATCCTCACCCATGGCGGTGTCCAGAGCATGGTCTACTGCGTGGATAAGCTGCCCTTGTTCTTCGAACTGGATGGAGGGAATCTGGTGCCCACTCTTTACAGCCTGTGGTCCGTTCCGGACATCCTGCCCTATTTCACCACCCACGAGGGAGTGTTACCGAAGCTGACGAACGGAGCGGATCTCATGCTGCCCGGAGTGGTGCCTCTGGGCGTGGGATTAAGCATGTACGGGCACTACAAGAAAGGACAGTTGAGCAAGTATTTTGATTGGATTCACTAGCCGCGTAATGACTTACAAATAATCTCTTTCAGTGGCTGTAAACCTCACAAATAACAAATCAGCCGTAGGCTTAGGTCAGTTAACTCGCTCCAGCGATGAATTGTACATGTGTGGAGGTCACGGCGTGGCCATCAAAATGCTCCACCTCTTCGGCGATAAACTTTGGTCCCATGAACCCAGTCTTGTGCAGCAAATCCCGCTGGTAAAGACGAAGGCATTATCAGGCGAGGATTTTCCTGCTCTTGGTTCTGAGACGGAAAGGAAAAAGGCAGCACATCCTGCAGCTCCAGCTCCTGTAACTTTCGCCTCTGTAGCCCAAAACGAGGAACTAGAATCGGACACGGCTGCCCTTTCTTTAGATGATCAGGCAACTTCCAAATCCGATGAAGAAGTCGAGGATGAAGACTCACCGGAACTGATTCTCAAGAATGCCTTTCTTTCAGCCTTAAAAAACAATGGAAAAAAGCTGCCTCTGCCACTGTTGACCAGCAATTTCTATAGGCTCTATGTTGTTACCGAAGCCCCAGACCAAATTGACCTAAAAAGACCCGCTACAAGAAGCTCTCCAACTTCCTGGCCGAGATGGTGGACCAGGGATTCATTGTGGTGCGAGAGGAGAGCAAGGGAGTGGATAAGATCATATCTGTGGATCTGGAGCACCCCGAAGTGGTAAACTTTATAACCGATGTCAAGGCAAACGAGGCGAATGGATCGGCGTCCGAGACGCCTCTCTTCCACTCCGAGCTGAAGGAGATGTACATAGTGACCGATGTGACGGCGGCCTTTTTCACCAAGCTGAACTTCAAACGCGGCGAGGGAATACCAGCGGGTCAGATTAAGAAGATTGTGCGGGAGTATGTGAGCAAGCATGGGCTGCTGCATCCGTTGACCAAGCTGGTTCGCCCGGACGAAACTCTGATCGAGCTGTACGGAAACAGAGAGGCCTCGCTGAGCGAGATGTGCTCCCTGATCACTAGCAAGATGGAGCACTCCTACCAGATGTGCAGTGGGAAGGACACGAGCGGCAAGCCCCTCATTCAGATGTCGCTGGCCACGCGCTCCGGCAACAAGAAGGTGACGCTGGTGAGCAACATCGAGGCGTACGGCATTATTTTGGCCGAATTCATCAAGTTGTGCAAGCAGGGAGCCGCCGCCAGCACCAGTGTGGTCAAACTTCCCCACCAGAAGCACGAACAGCTGCAGATCCAGGGCAACCAGGTGAGGTTCGTTCACACCCTCCTCACGGAGACTTACAAGGTACCGCCCAAGTGCATCCTCGGCCTCGAATTGGCCAAGGACGGCAAAAAGAACAAGCGAAAGTGAACGAGATAATAAACAAAGACTCTTTCTGTCTGTCCTCTGAGTGTAGTAATAAATTATTTAATAACTGTAGTGGGGATGAACCAATTACTGCTACGCGGGCAACAACAACGAATGGGATTGGCTATATCTTGAACAAAAGCGTAATCAGAATGCTCTGATTTGTGCCGGATTTGTGTGGACTCTCAGTTGGGCCAGCCTCCTTGTTTACTTAGCTTTGCCCTGGGCAGCCACAGCCTCGATGGCCTTCTTCACGGTCTCCTCGTCGCCGAGGAACTGCATAGACACCACCGGCTTGAAGTTCTCGTCCAGCTCATAGACGAACGGAATGCCAGTGGGCAGGTTCAGGGCCATGATGGCGTCCTCAGAGAGATCTGGAAAGAAAAGATTTTTATGAAAGTTAAAAACAATTCTTTTAAATTTGAAATAATCAATACTATCTGTTTCTATTTAGAAATGAATTAATATATAGTTAAGTGTGTCAGGCAAAGACAAATTTAAATTTTGAATCTATACAAAAAAGCTTTTTAAAAAGCTGGATATATATCATTTTATGACTAGCATATATATGCCCCCAGAATGTTCAGGAGCAAAATTCATTACCACCCTAACAATAATACTTTTCCTTCAATTCGTATAATATAATAAATCAAGAGTACTCACTGTCTAAATGCTTGACGATGCCACGGAGACTGTTGCCGTGGGCAGCGATCAGGATGCGCTTGCCCTCCTTCATCTGGGGAATGATGACGTCGTTCCAGTAGGGCAGTGTGCGCGCGATGGTAAGCTTCAGGGACTCAAACTGGGGGAACTCCTCGGGCTTGGGTCCGTCGGCGTAGCGGGCATCCTTGACAATGTTTTCGTAGTAGGGATGGCCGGGCTCCATCGGTGGCGGAGGGGTGTCGAAGCTGCGACGCCAGATCTGAACCTGGGCCTCCCCGTACTTGGCAGCGGTCTCAGCCTTGTTTAGGCCGGTCAGTCCACCGTAGTGGCGCTCGTTCAGGCGCCAGGTCTTCTGGATGGGGATCTCCTTGTGGCCACTGGCCTTCAGGATGCTGGCCAGAGTCACCTGGGCGCGGGTCAGCACCGAGGTGTGGGCCACATCGAACTCAAGTCCGGCCTCTTTGACGGCCTTGCCTGCAGCTAGAGCTTCCTCCTGGCCTGTTAAGTAAATATATTAGATTAAGTATACGCCTTGTTGACTAATTACAGTCGGACTTCCATTATTCAATTTTACTTTTTTTGTGGATCAAAACTTTTAAATCTAAGAAAATTATGATTTGCCTAGAACCAATTATATTTTTCGAAAGGTATTTCTCCAATTACAAGTATTTGTTTTTAGGAAATCGTTGACCTTTGAAGCAATTTTTGTTGTTGTGCGTAAGTTTAGTTTGAGCTACACAAAAAATTTGAGATAAGGAACTTTTGTGGAATGCGTGGAATTTTGTATTTAAAGCATTCCATTGATTTTTCACATCTGAACCATCTTTTAAATATTCCTTTGTTTCTTACTTTTTTCTAGAAAACTTTTACTTTCTGAAATATATACATCCATATATTAGAAAAGTCAGGTTTTTATGACCTATTAAGATGTGATTGTACTAGGTCAACAAAATTTAATTTGTTTAAGAAATTCAAGATATATTAATATTTTTGATAAGAAAACTTCCGTTAAACTTTAAGAAGTTGTTATAGTCCTCGTTGGTGCAAGGACAAAAAAGTTCGAACTACGGAATTGGGACTGTTTTTGATGTAATCACCTCACCTTTTTCGCTAAGATTGGCGTCGTACCATCCGCAGAACTGATTCTTCTGGTTCCACTCGGACTCGCCGTGGCGCACCATCACAATCTTGTACTTGCCGCCCATTTTAGTTGAATTAATAAGTTTGCGGAGAATTGTGTACTCTTAAGCCCACCGCCTTTAACTGCGATATGTGGGAAATTCTGCTGAAATTTGACCTACAAGGGATTCGTCCAAGGTCGCAGCTGTCAATCCGCTATATTGCCATCCCGGTTGAAAAATTAAATACAGGCACTGTATCTGGTCTTATTAGAACACACTAGAGGCACGTAGCTGGTCTTATTAGAACTCAATTTCAAACAATTGGCGGTTATCTGACTTAGTTCTGTATCTATATAAGAAATTAAACAAATATAAATTAAACCTAAAACGCCATCTGTCAAGGGTCCCTTTTAAATATTAGAACGAATAGTAGATAAAACTATAAACTTTATGAGATTTTTTGTCAGATAAATATATGTATTTTTGATTTCCGATAAGTTTGCAGCCACCCACAGTTTGCAACAGGTTAGCATACCCCGCTTCTGTTATCGCTCGCTTTTGCCATCACTAGTTGTGTGTTTTGATTTTTGCACGAAATCTTTTTTAAGTTTTATCTCCAAAATTAAGTTTTTTAATTAAAAAATGTGCGACAAGGTCACCGCCCGCTGTAACTGGCCCCAAATTGGGGGGAACGAGTTGGGTCAGCTGGTGGCCACCCGATTGTCCGACGAAGACGTCTTTGTGAAGTGAGACAAAGGATTCCACGCCCCGAAACTGGTTTTTATCTAGTATTTTTGCAAAATCCTTTGTCCGCAGGCCCGATCTAGACGATGTGATAAACGAGGAACGCGCCGTGCTGCTTGCAAACACAGAAAATCCACCACCACCTTGTGAGCTGAGGTTCCAAATTCCGACTCGCTTCAAAATTGCAGCTCTCACCTTGATTTGCAGTGCTCCCAAAGTGGAGCTTTTTATTGGACCTTCCCAGGAGTACTGCGAAACCATCTACGGACTGAGCGTGGAAGAGGAGGATGAAGAGATTCCAGTTCGACCCTATCGCTACGACATGGAAATAGACCGTTCCGGGATTAACGACATTAATCTCAAGATGCTCACCTCGGCCGCCGAAATATGTGTTTATGGAGCCATGCTGCAGACAGCTCCAAATCCTAATGGCATAACCACCCAGCTGCCCAGACCGGTGGACTTGGAAAGAATCCAGGAGCTGTTGCAAAGGGGAGGAAGCAATTCATCAAAAAATGAGGAGCAGGCCGAGAAGTTCCAGCAGTTCATGTCCCTGATGAAGGGATGTTCACCGCAGACTGAAGTAAAACTTCAAGAAACTGCTCCTAATAGCGATGTCACAATCCTCAAGGATCACATAGACATGCGATTTGAAAAGCTTACTCAATTAGTGTCCAAAAGGCTGGACAGTTTTGAGGCCCAACAGACAGAGAAACTTAACAAAATTATCGCCTTGCTTGAAAAGGAGAAATAATATTTCCGAAAAATGGTCTAATTTAACTTTTTTTTTGTATCATTCATTATTTTATTTTGTAATTGTTCTAAAAGACTGTTAGTGCTATTTCGAATGTGATTATACGAAATTTTTTCTTTAAGTTTGTTTTTCGAATCTATTGTAAATTAAATAAAATAAATTGTTCTTAAATTTTAAACACCTCAAGTTTTAATAATTATTTTCTTTTCAATTAAATTATTTTTATTTATTTTTTTGTATTTACATTTATGTTTCAATTTCTTTCGATGGGTTCAAATCAGCTGTGCTGGCGATTATACTTATCGATAACCACTTGTTGGCGTTGTTTACGTTTTGCATGGCTAAAAAGAAAGTTGACTTAAAAGCTCGTCATGGGCCAGATCATAGGTTAAAGTTGATAGAAATCGTTGGAATTTATTATTCAAGCCCATGAATTTATCCATTCGAGCCGTTTTGGCTATTGGCGGCGTCTTTTTGGGCTGTTGCAGTGCCGTTGTTTTCCTGGAACTGCTGGTAAAACTGGATCCCGGCGCTGGAAACCTAATAACCGCCGCCCAGTTTGCCTTTATTGCCCTGGAAGGGTTCATCTTTACCTCGCGCTTCGGATTGGCCCAGCGGTTGATCAGTCTGCGGGACTATGCGCTCCTAGTGGCCATGTTCTTCCTCACCAGCGTGTGCAACAACTACGTATTCGAGTTCAATGTCCCAATGACGCTACACATGATTATACGCGGCGGTTCCCTCATCTCGAATATGTGCCTGGGCACGTTGATTTTGAAGAGGAGCTACCGCCTCAGTCAGTACATATCGGTGGTAATGATCAGCGTCGGCATTTTCATCTGCACCTACTTCTCCAGTCGGGATTTCGGGGGTAAGATGGAGAACCTTAGCGGTAACACCGAGGCTGATATATTCTGGTGGCTGGTGGGCGTCCTACTCCTGGTGTTGGCTCTGTTTGTATCCTCCTACATGGGGATCACCCAGGAATTGCTGTATCGACGTCATGGCAAATGTGCGAGAGAAGCTTTGTACTATACTCACCTATTGCCACTGCCCGCCTTTCTCCTGATGCAGGATAACATCAGGACGCACTGGCTCCAGGCCTTCGCAGGCGAGGCGTACCAGTTGCCTCTTTTAGGGGTGGCAGTGCCCTTAATTGTGATGTATTTGTTGGGCAACGTTTTGGCCCAACATCTGTGCATCAGCTCTGTTTATACTCTGACCACGGAATGCAGCTCACTGACGGTTACTCTGATCTTAACCCTTCGAAAGTTCATCTCGCTGGTCTTTTCCATCATATACTTCCGAAATCCATTCACTCTGTACCACTGGCTGGGCACAGTTTTAGTTTTTATAGGCACCCTAATGTTTGCAGATATGATCAGAGTTCCCGAAAGGGCAAATCGGACTTTGAAACAAGAATAGACTTTATACGACTTTTTGTGACGAACAATGTTTTAATTCCATTTACATTTACATTTAAGTACAAATTAAAATTACAAGACTCTCATAATTGTTATGAAAAGAAGACATACATTAAAAGTAATAAAAAACGTGATGCTCTGGACGATCTGCCAAGGGCTTTCTTTCTTTGGCGACATACAATCGGTAAAACACGCGACATAAATACTAGACATAAATGCATTGGTGGCCCAACCGATGCAGTTGCAGCATATAATACTGCTGCAGCCTTGATCCAGCCAAGCCGCAGGATCCTTTCCTTACGCCCGCGCCTCGTTCTGCAGCCACTTGACGATGGACTTGTAGTTCTTGTTCATCCAATCGACGCTGGTCTCGATCTGCTCCACGATCTGCTGGATGGGCCTGTCGTAGTCCCAGTGGGCGTCCTTTACAAAGTTTTCGAATTCGCCCAGCTGAAACTTTGAGTTAAAGCGCTTGGTGGCAAACTTGAACAGAGTATGAATGTTTGAGATCTGCGAGCCCATACTGGAAGTAAAATAGTCTTGAAGACATTCTACAATGAAGGAATTATAGTGCGACTTACTAGGTCTTGATCTCCTGCCAATTGTTCCGAAGGAAATCGAAGGCTATTTGTTGGCCAACTACCGTGCTGGAAACGGCTGCGAATACGCGGAATAGATCCTGTTTTCGTATATGTTGGCCAGCAATGCCGCGACGCAAGTAGCGATAGAGCAACCAGGGCTCCTTGGAGCAACCGAGGGCGCTTAACAGCAGGTCCTTCTCGCCAGGTACATTCGTTTTCAGATAACGCTCGAAGGCAAAGTCCCACTCGTACTCAGTGCCGTATTGTATCGCCGAGCAGTAAACGACCCCGCGGAGATTGGGCACAATACTGTAAACAAAATAATCCTTGATAAAAACTATGCTTACATTAAAATTATACGGTTTTTTTACGGATTGTTTGAATCAGGATTCGGGGTCTGTACCCAGTTCTGAAAGTGCCGGCTGGCCTCGGAGATGCACACCTGGTGACCCAAATGGCAGGCCATGCCCAGAATATCGGCGCGCTTTAACTTCAGCAGAATATCCTCCGACTCACCCTGCGAGTCCTCGAATCCCACCTGCTCGTAGACCTTCTGCAGCTGCTTTAGCAGATAATTCTGTGAAAAAGCACTATCATGAGATTATCTTGAAAATTTCAGTCACTCAAGACCAACCTTTAAAAGATCATAGTCGCCGGAGTGGACGAACATAGCATCAATAAAAATAAAGTTGCTGGTGGCCGCCTTCCAGGGCACATGACCTAGTTCATGACCCAGATAGCGGGTCAAATTCATGGCAGTTTCGTAGGAGAGATAAGATCCCCTGGCCAGATTCATAACATCATCGATCAACTGTGCACGATTAGCTGGAGCAATATCCTCAAAGCGCTGGACATCCATCAGATGCCCGGTGATTGCCCGCCAGTTATCCAGATCATAGTTAACCCGATAGTAGCCCGTCTGCTGGACATTAAAGATAAACCATTTGGCAGTGGAGAGGTCCCTGTTCTCCAGCTCGTACAGCTTAGTGCGAGGCATCCAAGTAGTGGGTCGTGTGTTGGCAAAGTTTAACTCCGAAGCCGTGGTAAAAGTAATGGGTATCCACCAGAGCAGACTCTCATCCTCCCTGGTGGTGTTGGTGTACACAAAGCGAACCTGCTCCAGGCGAATCACATTCGAATTGGGATGCTTTGATACCTTCACCACCGGATAGCCCGTTTGCAGCGTCCAGGTGTCCATGATCTCCTTGACGCTTCTGCTATGGTCCAACAACCCAGAGGACTTCGCCTCGTTCGTTAGGAAACGCCACAAATCGTCCTGCGTTGCAGAGTTATAAGCCCTGCAAATTAATTTAATAGAGATAAATAAATTACAAATTCAGTTTAGAACTTACATCTCCTGCAAGTATTTGCTAAGACCCCGGCGAAACACTGGATTCGTGAGAAAGTGTGCCATCATGCGAATTATAGTAGATCCCTTGGCATACGAAATTCTATCAAAGATCTCAGAAATCTCCTGAGGATTAAACACCTCGTGGGAGATCTTGTGAGATGTGGAGAGAGCGTCCAGCTGAAACACTGTTTGTAGCTCATTGACCACAAACTGGTCCAACTGTTTCCACTCCGGCGCAACTGCATCTGCCGTCAGGTACTCCATATAACTTGCGAATCCCTCGTTCAGCCAGATATCCGACCACCAACTGGGCGTCACAAGGTTTCCGAACCACTGGTGGGCCAACTCGTGACCCACCACTGAGGCCACCCGTTGTTTGTTGTTAGCAGTGGCCACTCCCGGATCGTAGAGCATTGCGGTCTCTCTGAAAGTAATGAGACCCCAGTTCTCCATTGCACCCGCTTGAAACTCCGGCAAAGCAATCATATCGATCTTCGGTAAGGGAAACGTCACATTAAAGAATTCCTGCAGAAATGTCAGAATCCTCGGACCGACAGAGAGTGCATACTCGGCAGATTTGATAGCATCTGCACGGGCCCAGACCGAAAAGTTGCCGGACGAGATGTGCGTAAAGTCAGATATTGCATAGGCCACCAAATAGGTGGACATTGGCAGCGATTCAGCAAAATGATCCCACACATAGCTGGGAATGGAGGCGCTAAAGGTTTGAGAATAATGTTTATCTGAATGATTATTTGCGGATCTAGTGCAGTACTCACTGGTCGTTGCTGGACAAAATGGGCATATTGGAGACGGTGGTCATGTTTCGAGGTCGAGCAATGTGCAGGGTGAAGTTGGCCTTTAAAGCGGGCTCATCAAAACAGGGAAAAGCACGTCGGGCATCTGTGGCTTGGAACTGAGTAGAAGCTACCCACCTATACAGGCAATACATCAAGGGATGTTAAAGCAGGTTCAGTAATATTTAAATTTATAACATACCTGGTCTCATTGTGCACTTCATAGGAGCTTCGATAAAAACCCTGCAGATAGTCCTCAATAATCCCGTCAAATCTTAAATGCACAACGTACTCTATGCCCTTTAGCAGCTTATCGTACAACTCGATCACAAAAAACTGTTTGGCACCCACCAAATACTGTTTTCGGATCCGCAGACTATCCCCATCCAGCTCTCCACCCGGCAAAACCCGACGGACAGTAGCGTCGCTACGCGAGATGTTCAGCTCCTCAGCATGCATGGTGATGTTATAGCAATCCTCCAACACACGTATCCGAATTTGAACGGTGCCGGCAAAGGAGAAGTTCCCGCTGAGCTGCGGCTCTAGCGTTATATTATACTTTAGAGGGCGTATAGAGCGCGGCAAACGGACATCTCGATCATATTTAGGAGTTCTATCCTGTCCAGCCTTTAGCTTTCTCAGATGGACACTGGTACAAACGATATCCTCGTCGGAATCAGGCTCCAGTTCAGCACATGTGGCGAAGTTGTAGACGATGAAACCCACCGCCAGCAGGGTGCAGATGAAGAAGGAGGCCAATAGAATGGCAGTAGTCAGGGACAGACTATAGCGACGCCCCACCCGCGAGAAGGTGGTAGTTGTCGTGGGCGTTGCTGCGTTGCTTGATCGGTTCTCCATGTTCAGATTCTCATGGAGTGGAATCTCTTTAACGACCATAATGGCTGCAAATTAGGGTGAAAAAATTTAACTTTAAAATAGTAATTATTAACCAGAGTAGCAGGTTCTATAATATAAAATGAATGTAAAATCAGTGCCTGTTAAAGTAGTCGTTTATTCTTAAGTTTAATTCCGATTTCTTAAACAGGAAGAAGTTATCGGTTAACAAAGGATCTGAGCACACCACTTCCACATCCACTTCCGCAATGGCATATGATATAATGTAATATGATACTCAACTGCAGGTTGCTTAGTTTTCAATCTCGGGTCTCCACTTAAGTGGTTTCTCTGGCCTCGGAGCCAACCCCTTGCGATGTCTTGTGTTCCGATTAAATTGCGTAAATTGTTCATGAGCCATGTCCTTGTGGTTGACAGAGGAAGCCACAAGGAGGGGTTTACGAAGAGTTTTTGAGGAGGAAATCGTTTAGTTTGTTGTTCAAGGGGTCGTCAAAAACGTAATCATTAGCTCATCATCAGAGTGGAATGTATGGATTACAACGAGAAGCAAAAAATCATTGTTCATGTAATAACCAAAATGATATATTATCTGACACGATATATAAGTAAAGGTTTTTATATTTACTAATAAAGACACTGCTACACTCTTCAAAATCTTTTCAATTTAAAATGTAAACTATTTCAAATTTGTAAGTACTGTTCTAATTCTAATTTCAATTTAAAATTTAAACTATTTCAAATTTGTAAGTACTGTTCTAATTGATTTGATTCCTATTGATATTCTATTTTTTGTTAATCTTTTTTAGAAAGGTTTGAAGTAAAAAATTCTACAATTGAAATATACCTACTATAATGCTGTGCATTAATACGGAAGAATTTTAATGGCTGGTTTACGCGTTGACTTGATAACTACCTTTTGTTAAGTTACCTGGCGGGTTTTTTTATAAAGCTGCGTTTGAGATCTACATGCATCTGGTTTTATGGGAAGGGGTGTTTCCCACAGACTCAGTGTCATTGAAAATAATATATTTAAATTCGCGATATTTCCCATCCAGGACTGTGGTCGGAGTTAGTATCTGGTTGTCCAAGTCTGCGTTGGGTATTCCAAATCATTAAATTAAAGTCAGGCGAGGTTTTATAGAACTAAAGTAAACACGAGCACAACCGCGGTCACAATTATGATGGTTCCGCATATGTTTCGTGATTTATTACTTGAACAAAACTCATTTATTTTTACGGTAAAATATAATAATACATTTTTTGAATATACCAAATTTATTGATATACAAGTAAATTAATTACGATTGAGATTGTGGTGTAAACAGGTTGTTCTGCTCTAATATTAAATTGAATGAAAGAATAATTTTGTTTGAGTCCTAATAATAATAATTAATTATATTAGAAGGTTTTGTCAACCTTTTTTCTATTCCAATCTCTTGATAAATACAATTTTTTAAGTGGATTAGAATTCTATAGCTAGCAATTTATTTTAAACCGCTTCTGTTTGATTGAAGATGTTCTTATCAAAATGTCAATGGCCCTTGGGACCCGTTCTACTGGCTATACTAAAGGCAAATTCTTTTAACAGAGTCTGTCAGATAGTAGCGTAACTAAGAAGAGTGAACTGTAAAACTCCATAGAGCAGCGTTATAATCAATTGGCAAAAGTTTAAGCACAAATTGAGCGGGCAACAACATCGTCGTAAATCAACTTATATGTTCATGCAAATACGTCCGTCGGCTAATTGAGTTATGACATTAATTTGATCAGCTTCTGCCATAGCCTCCAGTTGGGGCTGCCAGCTCTTTCTCTTTCGGCTGATGCTGTTTTTGCAAATTGCTGCAATTAAACGCCGACAACTATGTACAGAAGTCAACCCCGACGCTGGCACGATGACCTTCATTAAAATAAGGCTGCAAATGATACGATGCCACCATCAACCCACTCCATCCCCCGGGGGTCCCTGGGTCGCTCGTTGGGGATCCAATTTATAGCCATATTTCATTGATAAACTGCGTGTAAGCCGCTGGCGATGTGTCAGCATATGGCGATGGATAAAGTTTGTACACTTCGAATACGAATTTTTTCTTAAACTTTAAAACGATCCTTTACTTTCAAGGGGAATATAGCTTTACCCTTAATGTACTTACGCATTTTTCAAAAGACAAGTTTGACAATTCATTTTAGTAATTTTACTAAAATTCAAAGATATAATATTAAAATTATAACAAGCACATGTATATTTAGAAGAATAACTTTCTATCTCTGATGTCCCTTTCATTTCACCTATGCATTTACATATAATAGAAATTAATTGTTGTTAAATGCAATCTGAAGACAAATTTAAGTCATAATTTGCGCAATTTTCTTTTAAGTGTATTCAATTTATAAATACAAGCACATGGATCTCTGTTAGTGGGAAAGCCAATATTGACAAATCATTGGGCAAAACGCGAAGGGAAACCATGAGACAATATAGAGGGGAAAATTCATGTAAATATTGGCTCTTCACGCACCCACGATTAAGACATTAAATTTTAATCGCCCAGCTTTTTGCTCTCCCATCAAAGAAACAAGAGAGCGGCAATTTATTGACCGTTGACTGATTGCCGCGGTGTGCTAGTATGTGTATATATTTTTGGGGGGGTGGTGTTGGAAAAAATAAAATAACCGATCGCTGGGGCTCCAGGTAATTTGCACGACTGCTCTAATTGAATTTTTGGGCAGTGCCAGATGATTTCTACAAATTTGGATAGTAAATCACCATAAATTGACGATCGTAAGGGGAGGAAAGTTTCGAACCGGCAAATTTATTGGTCCTGCGTGAGCTTCTCATATTTCGTGTTGGAAAAGTGTTTGTTTTTTGTATTTTAATCGTTAGCAGATGCGGGGCAAACTTGAAAACTGTTTGCAAAATAAACAACGGCGAGGGTGCAGAAATAAAAACGAAATTAAATGAAGTGTTGATTAGTCAATTACCTTCCAACGTGCAAACAGCAGCCGGCACCCCCACACAGAAAAAAACAAATGTATATTTACATTTGTCAAGTCATTTGTATAATAGTAAAAATAGATGAATTGAAAATTTATTCACTAATGATAGCAGAAAGGGGTCGGAAAACTGGCATTTGTCCTCTGGAAGCTAATCAAATCACACCGCTACCCTTTAGTTGGTTTTAAAATATTTTACAAATTAAATTTGTTCAAAAAGCATATAAATGTTTTGTGAACAATTTGGTATAATATTTCAACGAAATGTAAATGTTTGCAAGTATTTTACATATTAAGTTTTAATGTTGGGATGTGCTCAAAAATTATATATTTTTTTCAGTGGACAGTCTCGCCTAAGTCACCCACACACGACTAGACTCCCAAACGTGGGAATAATTTAATTTACCGTTTCACCTCCGTCCTGGAACCGTTTGTCGGACTATTTCACACCTTTACGGTTATGCTGGCTCGACACCAATGCAAATTTTGGTGACCCACACAAACACAAGCACAGTTGAAACTTTGCAGACGCCAAATTAATTTAATTAAATGTAAACGAATCACATTTACTTTAGCTGCCAAACTAATCAAAATGCAATTTTCCAAGGGACTATCACTAAACGGAGCACAGTTTTTATTTTTCCGACGAGACGCGCGCACAACCGTTACGCCTAACGGTTGAGAAATGAATAATCGGAACAAACAAGTTGCGTTGGAAGCATAATGAGCGAGAAGGCGAGAGCAGGGATCGCGCTGTGAAATATTCGCACTCTCTTGCGTAGGCGAGAGAAATGGCGTGTTTGGTGATAAGAATACTTACATTTAAAATTAAATTTAAGCATTTTGTTTTAAGCAATATTATTATTTGCTGTTTTTCTGAGATTTTGATTTATTTACAGCTCTTTGCACTTACACCTTGCAAAAGTAACGGTTATTGCCGGCGTTTTGAGCTTTCAGGCTGGCATTTTACTGGAAGGCGTTTAATGTTGCAGACTGAATGGCAAAAGTAAAGAAGAAGCAGGACTTAAAACAGCTGTGACTTGTTTTTCATTTCATATTAATTATGCATTTAAACAATGTTTATATTACCGTGGGCACTACCAAATTCGATGCCCTGATATTAGCTGTGACTTCGGAACCAGCTCTAAAAGCTCTGCATAATCGAAAATGCACTAAACTTGTCATACAACACGGAAATTCGGAACCTTTGACGGTAGACGATTCCCAACTAATAAGAAAAAACTATGGAATCCAGATCGAGCAATATAAATTCCGGCCAAATATAGAGGATATCAAATCTGCGGACCTAATTATTGGACATGCAGGAGCCGGAACATGTATGGATATACTTAATAACGAAAAACATGGGCTAATTGTGATAAATGATACTCTCATGGATAATCATCAACTGGAGTTGGCCAAACAATTGGCCTCTGAAAACTATCTGTACTACTGCAAAGTTAATGATTTGGATGCCCACCTGGCCTCTCTGGACTTTGAAGCTCTGAAACCGTACGAGACGCAACCGGAAAATCTTAAAAAATTTGTTTCTGCCATTAATGAGCTGATGTCATTCTGAAAAAAACTTATCCAGAAAAGATAAACAATTTTTATAGCCAACCCCCAGCGGGGCTAACCTTTGCTATTTATTTATGAGTTTACAAGTATAGTTAATAAACACGAGAACGTCTATGAAGAACATTAATTATTATTAGCAATCTAACGCTTGCTGAGGTTATCATAATAAGGATAAATTCACGACAATTAAATATTAAAGCGTACATTTTTGTTTACTGTAACTGGTAAATTCCATTTGTTTGGACAGTTAATTTCATATAACGCAATGAGACTCTCAACATGCTTTGGTTGTTGCTTCCCTAACTTCTTGTCTAATCCCGCTCCATTTACTCCTCGGCGGCGGCTGCTCCATTTTCTATGATGGCATCGAACGAGAACGGTTGGAAAGCGTATCCCTGACCCTTGTAGAACTTGCTCTGGAACTCAACCCTAGAGGTTTTAAAAAAATAGGTTGTTAGAGAGGAATTAAGGTATTAATAGATTATAAAAGCTCACCAATGAAGACGCAGCGTGTGCAGGAAAGCGGACAAGCCCTCCATGAGCACCAAAATGCCAACTGTTAGAATGGCCCAGAAGGCAAACACGCAGGTCAAAACGATGCCGCCAACGGGGCCCTCCTGCTTTAGACCAATCGAGAGGACCATGGTCCACAGCACCTCAGCCAGCTCTGCCAAATTGTTATAATTTAAATTAGATTATATTATATTATAATTATAATTCATTCGATTTCTTACGGGCATGCGCCAAGGAGAGCGCCCACAAACGGAGATAAGAGGCGGTGTGGGAAACTGAACCCAACACATACTCGATAGTGTGTATGCTCTGGTGAATGAAGATCTCCGACAGTTCCTCCTCCTCCTCATGTCCGCCACCACCGCCATGGGATCCGCCATTGGACACGCCGCCAGTTTCTGCATCCGAAGTGGCTCCGGCAATTGGCTGGACCTGAAAACAATTAGGATTAGTGACTGACTATAAGAGCTATGTCTGGGGGAACTATAGTCAAACTTCTCTAAAGGAAATCCCATTAAAAAACATTAAAATACTTTTATATTTTAAAGAAAGTACAATGGAAAATGTTCGAGTTAGAGAAGTTCGACTGAACATGGAAAACAAAACGACACACGACTAACCTCTTCCTATGGTTTGTGGATTGGAGTGTTTTAGTTTATTCGGTGAGGAATTGGTTGTGGGGATATAATTTTGTTAATTGGGAACACAAATAAACAAGAAGCAGTTAGTATAATGTGGAGAGCTGGTAGTGCAATGTGCGTTGATATGTTGTGATGTGAATCGAAGGCTTTTCTATGGGAAGTGATATAGTGCACCGACCGAGAAGCTACTTACGTTAGCCTGTTTGCGGGCCTGCATAATGAGCAGCGGCTTGGCCAGAAGCATTACGGGAATACAGCCGACGGCCACCAGCACGAAGAGCACCTGGATGAAGTGCTGTCCAAAAAACATATAGGTTTCACAATGATCTGGTGGTGGTTTGGGCGTGTTGAAGAGCACCATGTCGATAAAGGTAATCAGGATGGAGGGAGCACAGGCTTCGGAGTAGGGCTCTAAATAAAAGTCAATCGGTCTATTAGTTAAGAACAGGGACAGCTAAAACTGAGCATACTTTCATTGGTGGCCGCGAACTTTATCCACTTGATGAACATTAGCAATACCATGTAAAAGAACAGAAGCAGCAGGAAGATCAGCTGAGGTATAAACTCGTAGATCAGGGAGATCCTATTGCGGAAATACGTGTGATTGTGCCAGCTCATTACCACGCCGAAGATCATGTGAATGACGCCGAAAATAATCGAGATTTTCATCTTGTAAGCGTTGTGGAAGATGATCTTGTTGGCCCCCGCCACCTGCCAAATGGGATCCATACCAAAGGGATACGGAGCACCTTCGTAGTCGACTTTCGGGCTTAACTGCAGGAACTTATTCTCCATCACCGTAGACTTGTTGTACGACATGTGCCAGTGGGATCCAAAGATATTCAGAGACTTGGAGAAAATATCATTGTATATGAGGCCAGTGTACATGGAGAAGACGCCCATAAGGAAGATAATATAACGTCCGCCGAAGAATATGTTCCAGATCTCGTTGTCCGTTTTCTGAGCCGCCAGTCCTTTCTCCTTTCGAATCATCCAGAGACCAAAGAGGGCCATGATGGCGCCATGCCCTAAATCTCCAAACATCACGGCAAACAGAAAGGGAAAAGTGATGATTGTGTAGGGGGCCGGATTCATCTCCCGATAGCTGGCCACTCCATAGGCATCGATCAGAGCCTGGAAGGCCTTGGTGAACTTGTTTGTCCGGTTATAGGTTGGTGGATTCTCAAACGTCTGCATCCGGTTAAGAATCGGCGGTACTGACGATCCCGATCTTTCAGTTCCGCGGCGTAAGGCCAGCTGGATGGTTTCAAAGTCTAGAAGCGGCACCCAACACTCGGCGATCAGACACTTCTGGGTCACATCCAGATTGAAGAGATTCAACGTGTGGTAGATGGCCTTGATCTTGCGCACCTTGACGAACCAGTTCTTTAGGTTCTTTGCTGCAGCAACAAGGACACGATGGCGATGGTCCTGCGTTTGGCCGAGAACCGTGTTCAGATCCTCGATACGAGTCATAACACCCATGGCCATCTCGCGGCGATCGGCAGGAGCCTCGGGGCAAGGATAAAGTGTGGCACGGAAGCCCTCGCAGATCTTCTTGACGCGTGTTTTTAGCTGGTCACCCTGGAAGAAGATGATGAACACGGACTTGTGCACCTGGTCGCCCTGAAATTTAAAAGATGAGAATGGATTAGATTACTGAGGGAATCTGGTTTTAAATATGATATTAGGTAAGAGTCGATCTTAACTAAAATATGGTTCATCTAATGAATTTGGTTAACCCTTTTTTGGTTTAAATTAGTTGTTTAAATACAATTTTCTGCTACCAGTGGTAACAGGAACAGCTTTGAACAAATTAACCCATTTTAAAATCTTGACTGAAAGCATAAGTAAATAACATTGGACATAAAGAACTTAAGTCCAATTATAACTTTATTATGCAATAACTTTAGTTTCGTTTTTTGTTTTGGACTTACATTGGTGGGATCCTCCAGCGGAGTTTCGATCATCGCCTGACGCAAGAAGACGTTGCCTCTACAGGCGCGCCACAACATCCGCTCGAAAGCCGGTAGCCGCTCCCTGAGAATGACGCCAGCCACGAAGCTAGAGGGGATTTAGATTTAGCGATTAGTAACACATCTCTGCTACGGCTATACAACAGAGTCATTCCGGTTATTTACGACAAACAAGGAAAACTAAACTCTCAAGCACAAGTTACCAATGGACGCGCGAGGCGAGAGCAGGGATCGGGATGAATGAGATGGGTGGGTGGATCTCTGGATAGGTGGGTGGGTGAGACGTTAGCACTCTGAAATCTGGACGGGATGCGGGACGTTGCTGGGAGGCAAGGCGAGGCGAGCGAAGCTAATGACATGTCTCTATATACAGTTGATTGACCGATCGATACGAATACGGATACAAATACGATTGATGAGCGCAGTTCGTTGGCTAATGGATACGAGTTTGACTGATTGTTTGGCCTAGTCTTGTGTTTTGGAAGGGACAGGGTACCAACCATGGAAGATAATCCTCACGTTCATTCGATTTCTCCATATAACTAGATATTTAACAAAAATTTTCGGTTGGACGTTTTTTGAGTGGGGAAGATAGGAGCATAAGAAGAGAACGACGTTTAATTTAGTTGTTTTTTATGTGTAACTTGTTGGTATCTTGCACAGAAAATTATTGCTCGAAACTTCAAGAGACTCCAAGCTGGTCGGAATGAATGGACATGGTTTGGTTAATCTTTCTCTTTGGCTGCGCAGCTGCTTTGACTTTTGGTTAGTTAGGCGTTGGCGGCAATAAGCAATAATTTTGTGTGGCATTTCGTTGGTTAAAGCTAAAAAAGATTACGTACAGTAAAAGCTTCCTTGGGCGGAAAGAGTAGTCTACTCTTTATAGTTTAAATAATACTATAAAAACCAGATTCTTTAAGTATGTACAAATTCATGAAGAACAAATTAAACAATGGCCTAATTAATACAAATTAAATGAAACTTATAGTCTTTAAAATGGTAATCCAAATATAATCCTTTGAAGAAGATTAGATTTTAAAAAGTATTTCTAAACACAGAAAAAGTAAATGATTTAGTATACCAATAATAACTGATATGTTATCATAAAATACATGAAAATTCAAATGGAACATAATTTGTTTAAGGAAATTTATTACTTCGCCCAAGGAATATTTTCCTGTCCAAGGAGCAATGTCCTAAGCCCGAGAGTGCGCCTGCCCAAACTTGGACACTGGTTGCTGGATACGTACCCGAGCTGTACGGGACCCATTGAGGCACCAGCGGTGCGCGCCTCGTCCGTGATCAAGGCGCGGGTCATCGACTCGGTCGTTTGGTTTACGCCGCCTTCTTGCTAGAAATTGTGAATGGTGGGCAAAGGTCATTTCGACTCGACTAATGTACGGGTTAGCTTAGGGTTAACACTTAGGGAAAGGTTAGTAGAGTAGATCCGCCTCCGATTCGTGGTTTTGGGTTTTGTTGTGGCTTGTGGGGGAAGTGGAATGGATTGGATATAGAGTTTGGAAACCGACACCAGAGCAAACAAGTAGAGTATGTGCTTTATGTTTGAAATCAATTCGATAGCCTATCACGTGGAACACTCATAAATTTTAAATGGAGGGGACATAGACGCGTATTACACAGCAGCAAGGAGTGAGAGGAGCAGGAGAGCGAGAGCGAGTAGGTCTTGGCCTGAGTTTAGTTTTCCCCCGATCTCGTCGCGGTCCGTTGTCCCAGGTCCACATCAATATTTACCCAAGCTTCAAATTCTGGCCCGGCTGGCTGGCCCGGACACCCTCCTCGCCCAGCAGCTGCGCCTGCTCGTCCTCGTTCTGGTTGTCGGCCATCTGCGGATAGCGCCGATATTTGCTAGATGAGTATGCGCCACTCGACTTATACACCGTGGGCACCGACTTTTGGCAACACAACCGGCAGTGGGCGTGGCATTGGGTGGTGTTTTTATTGGGTGTTCGTGGTGTGTGCGGTTTAGTGTA